CTCATTCACCCAGTCTTTCCCTTTTTTGAGAACTGGGAGCTTGCTGGCTGGGTCTATTCCCACCAACAATGTTCCCGTCTTGGGAGCTTAAAATAGCCCCTCTTGGCTGGGGCTCTGGAGTGAGCAGCGAGGCAGGCATTTGTGCAAATATGGGCCTGGGAGAAGGACTCTTACCCGGGAAGGAGGGGAAGGAGGCATGCAGAGGAGACAGGACCTCCTGGAGGGATGTTACCTTGGGGGATCTCTTTAGCCCCCTAGCCCCTTCCTGCCTCTCTGACCTAACTGGGTCCATTGATCACAGTTTAAAACCATATCCCTTAAGGCCTCCTGGCTTGGCTGAGGTTCCAGGGTAGGCCCATTGAATAGAGGCTTCTGCATTCCTGCAGCAATTCTAGTCACCCACACCTGATAATGCCCAATTCCTACCTAAGAATACTCCAGAAGCATCCCTGAAGGCCCAATCAAGACCCAGTCTAATAATAGCAGTTCCAATTTCAGCTCTCATTAACTGGGCACTCACCTTGCCAGGCACTGATGAGGCACTTTAACAGGCATTCTCTCTCTTTTTAAAAAAATTTATTTATTATTTTTATTTTATGTGTATTCGTGTATTGCCTGCATGTAGGTAAGTGCACCAGTATTGTGCAATACCTGTGGAGGACAGAAGAGGCTGCCAGATCCCCTGAGACTGGAGTTACGGACAGTTGTTAGCTGCCATGTGGGTGCTGGGATTCGAACCTGGGTCTTCTGCAAGAACAACCAGTGTTCTTAACTGCTGAGCCATCTCTCCAGCCCCCAGGCATTCTCTTTTGATCCTCATAGCAATCCACCGAAAACCAAGTTGTTATTTTTCAACAGGGTCTCCTGTGGCTGACATCAAACTTATCATGACCTTAAATTGCTGATTCTTCAGCCTCCACCTCCTGAGTGCTGTGTGGGAGCCACCACACCCAATTTTATACCAGGGATCAAACCTAGGACTTTGTGCATGCTAAGCAAGCACTCTACCAACTGAGCTACATGCCCAGTCTCAAGTTGTTATATCCATTGTGCAGAAGAAACAACAGCTCAGAGAAATCACATTACTTTCCCAAGGACACATGTCTGTGGAAGGGAAGGTTGGACTGCAATCTGCCAACCTGTGGAGTCTTAACTCATCCTGGGTCCTCTGGGTTCACATTGTTCTGATTTCCCTCCCTCCACTCCAGCACTGCCATCCTTTTTAACAGCTGGTTTGATGAACTGTATCACAGTTTTAGTGAGTGCTTTCCATGTGCTAGAAATGCTGTAGTTACATTGTCCACAGCCTTGGAGCTCTCAGATCTCCCAAAGCCTGGAGGAGTTGAACCCTGGATGCCATGAGATCCTAACCTTGCAGCATCTAGGTTGTTGGAGAAAGCTGAGTGAGGCTAAGTCCTCTTCGATGAGCAGCAGGAGACAGCATGCATAGGGAGTCAAACAAAATTGTTTTGAATCCTCTGCATTTCGGAGGAAATAGTCAAACAAATGCTTTGAGCCTCAGTTTCCCTAGTCATTAATAGAAGGTAAAATAGGACGAAGGTGTGCTGGGAGTGTTTCATGAAACAATAAACATGTCAGTCAGAAGGTGGGTGTCAAGCAGTAGTTCTTATTTCTAGATGCATTTTCCTTTATATTTCTCCTCCTCCTATCCCTTCTTATCTTCATGTGTGCACGTGTTGGTGCATGTGTGTGCAGGTGCGTGCGTGTGTGTGTGTGAAGGCATGTGTGGAGGAGGCCCAAGGACAACCTCAGTTATCATCCCTCAGGAGCCTTCCACCTTGTGTCTTTGAGACAGGGTCTCTCATTCATGAAGGTTGCCAGGTAGACTAGGTGGGCTGGCCAGCAGACTCTAGGGAGGGATCTGCTAGTCTCTGTCTCCCTAAAACTGGGATTACAGCGTATACCACCACGCCTGACTTTTTACCTGGGTTCTGGGAATTGAACTCAAGCCTTCATGTTTGCACAGCAAGCACTTTATCAATAATGTTAGTGCCTATTTTCTGCACATTATGGGACCAGCTTCCACACACTGAAGGCTTAGTACATAGAAAGTGTTCACAGCGAAGGGGATCCTCAGGCTCAGCAGGCAGAAACTCTCAGTCCTGCTCTCCCCAGGCTGGTTGGGCCATCCCTACCCTGGTGTGGAAGGTGTCCTCAGTGCTGGTCCTCAACAGCAGAGCCACTGAGAATCAGCCAGGGCCAGACACAGGCCCTGCCCACTCACCCTAGTTGCTTAGCCCCAGGCCTACTCCAGAAGAGGCGGCAGAGGCGCTCTTCTGGGCTGTCTGCTTTCTCGTGGCGCCACCTGGTGGTGATGTGGGGCTGCTTTAAGCGGTCTGCCGTGGAGGCTCCAGGGACTCCCACACCACTGCCCCTGCTCCCTGTCCATCCATCTGCTGTGCCTTTTCGAACGTACAACCACTCGTTAAGGGTAAAGAATGGAAGGACCCCAGGCTCATTCATGGGCCAAAGGGAGCCTCCGAAACCTTGGTTTCTTCACCTCTTGTTCAGGCCTGGCACCGACCTCTGGGTTCTCTAGGCTCACACGTTCTGACACAGCCCAGGAATAGGAAATCTATGATAGGCACTGTACTGTCCCTGGGAACCATGGTGAGGGGTTTGAGGTCCCCAGAAAGACTGGATTAGCTCTTTGGCTCCCTCCAGATCAGTAAGGAGGCTCAGCCTGGCCCAGGCCTGTTGGTGAAAGCTTTGAGAGAGGATTGGTGAGTAGAACCAGAGGCTGGCTCTGCTTCCAGCTCCTGCACAGGTGCCATGTAAGCCTGGGAAGGCCCTCCCTTCCTGGGCTCTAGCACTGGACAGGGAGTGGGCTAGATTAGAGGTCAGGACCCCTGTTGCTTCCAGAATGGGGTCATGCTAAAACAAAGATTCTTGAATCTCTAATGTCAAGATCTCTGGGCTGGAATACTGGAAATCTCTAATTTTTTTTCTGTTGTGTTTTGTTTTGAGACAGGTGCTCATGTCTTCCAGGCTGGCCTTAAATTTATTTTAAAACTTATTTTTATTTTATGTGTGTGAATGTTTTACCTGCATGTATGTAGTGTGCCACATGGGTGCAATGCTTGTGGAGGCCAGAAGAGGGCGTTGGATTCCCCCAAAACTGGAGTTACAGATGGGTGTTAGCTTCCATGTGGGTGCTGGGAACTGAACCCGGGTCCTCTGCAAAAGCAGCCAGTGCTCTTAATCACTGAGCCATCTTTCCTCAAATTTGATATGTGGCTGAAGATGACCTTGAACTCCTGACCCTTCTCTACTTCCTAAGTGCTAGGGTTATAAGCCTGCACTACCACACTTTGTTTTTTTTGTTTTGAATCTCTATTTACAGACCTTGTAACCGAATGCTGGGAGGCCACTCTGTCCCCTTTGGGAGCAGAAGGACGGGTATGTGCTAGCAAGCAGGGGGACTGGCATTTCTGGGGTTTTGAGAAGCAGGGGGTCCTCTGTATTCCAGTATATAGCTCTCAATTTCCTCATCTTTCTGTAGATATGGATGGGGTTCCCCAGCATGACTGTGGACCAGGAGGAAGCAAAAACCAGCACAAGAACCCAGCCAAGATGCCCCCATTCACCCCTCTGCCTGGCCTTTCATTTGTTCAAAGAACAGTGGTGGAGGGGCTGGGACAGCCAGGACCTGGGGGGGGGCTTGTTGCCCAAGGAGGTATTTTCAGAGTCCCCCGCCCTCTGGAGTTTCCAAGGCCAGAACAGAGCCATGTCTAGTATTTGACCAAATATGGTGGTATCTCTCAAGGAGCTCAAGCCCCAGCCAGCTCCTCAGTTCTGCTGTGGAAACCTGCCCCACACAGATTAATCTTGTGACATTCAGAAGCACCTCTTTCCCTGCCTTCCTCCTCTCACCAGTTCCTGTAAATGGCCAAGACTGGCCATCAGCAAGACAGGGAAGAGAAGGTTGTCTACTCACAGCAGCCCTCCCTCCCCTCCTCTCCTCCCGTCTTCCAGACAGTGTTTGCTCGGCTAGCTCACACTCAGTTGGCTGTTCACTCAAGGTGAGAAGCCTTGGTCACAGAGGCTGGTCAGTTTATCTTTTGAGGCCCTGTGGACCCTAGGGGTCAGCTGAGCTCATGAAGCTGTGGCCTGCTTCAGGAAGGCTGTAGCTCTCTCAATCAGAAAGGTGGATCAGAGGGGTACACAGAAGAGGTGCTAAATCACATGAGCTAGAATCATCAGGACAACTGATTTTATAATCATAAGCATTAAAATAATTGCAATTATTATAACTATTTTATAATCATAATTCTTATGACAAATAGCAGTGTTTATTGAGTGCTTACTATGTGCCAAGCATTCTGTCAGGTTTTTGTCATGGCTTATTCCTTTATTCTTTGTAGCAGCCTCAAGAGATGTGGAACTGAGACTCAGAAAGACTCAGGTAGGAGTGGGCCAGGCCACTATTCCTAGGCACTACTTGGGTTATACAAAGAGGAGGCTGAGAGAAGGAAGGCCATACATAGTCAAAAATGGGGAGTGGAGGTCTCGCATGGTAGGCAGCAAATGCTGCTCCAGGAAGCCCAGAAATATTGGTATGAAATCTTCAACATCTGCTCCTTGGCCTGATGAAGCGTGCAGGCTCAGGAACATGTTCACAGGGCTGGAACTGTGCAGAAAATATCCCAAGACAAACAGCGTGGGGTGGCGCATAGAGTTCTGGATGGGAACCAGGCCTAAATCCCAGCTCTGTCATTGCTAACTCGCTGTGAAATACTGGGCAGATCCCTTCCTGCTTAAGCCTCAGTTTCCCTTCCTGTGAACTAGAGGGGTGGACCACTGAGCTCACCTGATATTGGCTGTTTTCCTGGGAGATAGTGCTGTTCAGCTCTCAGGCAGCATGGTCCCAGTACATTTGCTCTCCTGACCAACTGGCAGCCCATCCCTCCTCCACCCTTGCCATCCCCAAAGCAAACGAAGCTGATTGTCTTAGCTGGCGCTGCGGGTGCTGGCTAGGTGACCGGCCGCAGGCCACAGGCGGAGGTGCCATCAGCCAGGGCCCCGCCAGACACACAGGGCATTGTCCCTTGGTCAACAACCCTTGGGCACCTCAGTCTGGCTCCTGGCCTGCCCCCACACCCCTCACCGCCTGCCACTGTGTTAGGCCCAGCCAGCTGGGGGCCCAAGGCTCCCAGCTGACAGTGAGCCCACCCACCCACGCCCCCAGCAGCCCCCTGTCGAGCTATAATTGCTGCGGCCCCATCCTGTTGCTGCCATTCTCCCTAGCGGCAGCTGCAGGCCTGCCCGCCTGGCTTGGTGGGATGGACTGGCCGCACAGCCTGGTAAGTGGTGCTCCCCCACTCCATCTTTCCCTTTGCTGTTCTTTCTCATTGATTAATGGCTGCTTGTGTTTGGATTGGAATCTGCAGAAGTCAGCTCTTGCTCTGTCCTTTCTTCCAGGCCTAGAGAGAAACAGCCTGGTCTCCGCCTGCAGCCATGGCCTGCAGCTTGGGCTCTAGCTCCCAGCTCAGCCTGGCTACACTGAAGGTCTTTCAGGCAGCACTACCAGAAGAGACCCTGACAGACTCAGGCACTGGGGTTTTTCCAGGCTTTGCTCCTGGGATCTGGGCAGGATGAGTGACCTTGGGCAAGTCCTATCTTTGACTCCCATCTGGGAGGAGGGGATGTTGGGTCTCCTGTTTCCCCTGTATGGTGAGCTGGTGAGCTTGGAGTTGAGGAATGTGTGGGAGGCTCAGCCAAGGAAGCCCATTGTTAGGGAGATATTTCTGCAGCAGAATGTAGGACCCAAAGGAGGAATGTAGCAACTTGATTCACCACTGCAAACTTTGTGCCAGCAAGTGGCTCTGCCAAGAGGGGCTGTGCTGGAACTTGTTTCCAAGGGTCAGGCCTTGCTGTGTAACCTGGATAATCCAGGTCAGGATGCAGCAGGGGTCTGGAGCCTGGCAAGACCCAGCAAGGAGGGGAGACTCACACTGATACATTAGTCTAGTCTGGCAAGCTTAGCCCCACCTAGGGACCGGTGACCATTCTCTCCTGGGCTTCCAAGGGAGTCTGGTTCTGTGGGGGAAGCCAGAAGCTTGCTTGATACTATGGGCCTGGGTAGGTAGAAAGTGAACACGAGTAGGGGTAAGGCAGGCAGTGTGCTGCCGAGGAGGAAGGTGGTGTGTATGTGTGGTCTAAAAATGCAGTCTTATAGGAGCCATGCCTCATGCTCATGCCATGCCCCCCTCCCCCCAGTCTCAGCCTCATGGTTTTCTTTTAGAAAAAAAAAAAGGCCCATAGCTTAGAAGGCCAATTTCCCACTGTCCAGGCGCTGTTGTAGTCAAGAGTTTGGATTCTGAGTGCCTGTGTTTATAATTTTATGCATGTGTATTGCTAGCACATTTATAAAGGCAACATGTGCATGCAGTACCCACCAAGGCCAGAAGAGGGCATGAGATCCCCTGGAACTGGATGGTTGTTGGCTACCTTGTGGGTGCTGGGAACCAAACCCTGGTCCTCTGCACAAGCAGACAGTGCTCTTCACTTCTGAGCCATCTCTCCAGCCCTATAGTGCCTATGTTTTAACCCCACTTTGGCTTCTTACTACCTGTGAGGCTTTGGGTAAGTTCATTTGCTTTGCTGAGCCTCAGTTTCCCCAACTGTCAATGGAGGTGATAGTGGTATGTATGCCATACATTTCTTATAAGCAGGTGGCCATGCATAGCATCTCCTCTCAAACCTCCTCTCATTCTTCTGTGTCCTGGTAAGACTCTTGATCACTCTGCCCTTGATTCCGCCCTCTTATTCTACCAACTCCACCAGATGGGGCCCTAGAAAAGCTTGGCCAAGCCACTATGCTAGCCCAAGCTCAGTGGGAGGTCTAGCTTTCAGCCACCCCTGCTAGTGCTGCCCTTCTGTCCCACCCCCAGACAGCAGGACTAAGGTTCAGGGCATGCCTGGCAGCAGTTATCCATGCACTCAGCACCTGCTCCCTGAAGTCTGATATCATGCAGACACAGAGGGGAAGTATAAGATGTGTGGAGTGTGGAAAGGAGTTGGTGTGGACAAATAAAAGAATCACATATGCAAGTAAGATTGTAGGCAGGCCAGGTGTAATGACACATTGCTTTTAATTTCAGCTTTTGGGAGGTAGAGGCAGGCATATCTCTGTGAGGACGAGGTCAGCCTGGTCTACATAGTGAATTCCAGGCCAGCTAAGGCTACAGGGAGACCCTCTTTAAAAAAAAAAAAAAAAAAAAAAAAAAAAAAAAAAAACTGCAGGCATGCAAGGGAACTTGTGGGTTATAAGAACCCCAGAAGGTCCAGAGGCATCACTGAGACAGTAACACTTGAGCCCAAAGGTGGGTGGGAAGGTGTTCAGAGGGTGAGAGGAGGAGGCAGAGTGCTGTAGGCAGAGGCTTATGCAAAGTCCCTATGGCAGGAAGGAAAATGGTGAGAGCAAGAGACTAGAGCTCCAGTACAGAGGAGGGCCTGGGAGACCTCTGCAAGTGCATAGGAGGGCCTGGGAGACCTCCGAGGGCCCTGGAAAGGGCATTAAGGCAGAAGGTGGTATTATCAGCTATGCTTTTCAAACAGCTGCCCTAAGCCTTGATGTGCTGAATTGACTAGAGGGGCTTGGGAAAGCCCGCTGGGAGGCGGTGCAGCTGTCGGAGGAAACAAGAGAGGTGTTGCAGATGGAGCATGGGGTGGTGGCTGGGGTGGAGGAAATTTTAGGAGATACCCTCTTTTCACGGATTTCAAGGTGAGAGGAAGGAAAAGTGTCAGTGGTGTCCAACACAGAGCAAGTGTCTACACACATGGGCCCGTGGCAGTGGCAGTTGAGGTGACCCATACAGAGCCCCCTCTCCCCTGTCTGCCCTGACTCCCAAGCCTCAGTCCAGGGAGACTTGGTTCTCTCACCATTAACCAGTGGCTTTCCTCCTCAGTTGTTCCTTCTTGCAATCTCCATCTTCCTGGAGCTGAGCCAGCCCCGGAACCCCAAAGGCAAGAGGAAGGGACAAGGGAAGTCTGGCCCTGTGGCTCCTGGACCTCACCAGGTGCCACTGGACCTGGTATCTCGAGTGAAGCCCTACGCTCGCATGGAGGAGTATGAGAGGAACCTTGGAGAGATGGTAGCCCAGCTGAGAAACAGCTCTGAGCCAGCCAAGAGGAAGTGTGAAGTCAACCTGCAGCTGTGGTTGTCCAACAAGAGGAGCCTGTCTCCCTGGGGCTACAGGTAGGTAGACTGGGCCCAGCAAGTCAGCTTTCCCACTGTCCCAGGCACTGTTATGGTCAAAACCCCTTGCATTCAGATGTCTGAATGCTTGTGTATGTTTTTTAAATTTTTTTGATTTATTTATTTTTGTTTTATCATATGTATGAGGGTTTTGCTGCATGGACATGTGAGTACCACATGTGTGCAATGGCCATGGAGGCCAGAAGAGGGCATTGGATCCCGGGAACTGGAGTTACTGATGGTTGTTAGCCACTATATAGGTAGTGGGAACCAAACCTGGGTCCTCTGGAAGAGCAGTCAATGCTCTTAACCGCTTAGCTATATGCCAGCCCCATGAGCGACTGTTTTATCCTCATCTTTGTCTCTTACTAGCTGTGAGTCTTTAGGTCAGTTGATTAGCTTTGCTGAGCCTCAGTTTCCCCAACTTTCAACGTTTGGAGGTGATACTGGTATGTACGTCATAGGCTAGTTGTAAATAGATAGCCACACATAGCACTTTCCTTGTAGCCCCTAAATCCAAGCTGGAGTGCTTCAGAGTCTCCTCCTTGAAGCACTTTGTGTGTGTGGACAAATAAAAGAATCATATATGCAAGTAAGATTGTAGACAGGCCGGGTGTAGTGACACATACCCAGTAAGGCTCACACTTACTGGGTATGCTCATGCCTATCTCTCATGGCAGATAGTTCCTCCTTTAGGGTTCCTATGCTCACTCAGGCAAACTTTCTAGGACGATGCCCAGAACACAGTGTTGCGCCTGTCTTCCTATGCTTAGTGTGTACGGCCAGCCTGTGACTTGGAAATCCCCCTGCTTCACTGGGTGACAGAAGCAGTATCTGTGTTAGGTTCCAGCTCTACCTCTTAGCTCAGAGTCCAGAAGGGGCCAGAGCTACATGTATTAGATGGAATAGAGAAATGGCTGACCCTGAATGCTCCTTACTCACCAACCCAGTCCAAAGATTTTTCCAGCCATGCAACTTATTCCCCAAGACTCAAACCACACCATTGCCTAGAACTTTGTGTGATAAAGTCCGTTGTGGTAGCCAGGTGACTACTGAACCACTGGGCTGTGGCTACTGAGACAGAAGGACTAGTTCTGGTTGATTTCATTTTAAGTTGGCACATGTGGCTAGTGGCTACTATGTTGGGTAGTATAGCTCTGGCTGTGACAATAGGGTTTGTAAGGATCCTCCAGACCCCAGCTTCCCCTAGGATTATAAAAATGCAGGCTCACTTAGGAGCTCTATTTTTTTTTTTTCATTCATTTCTAACAAGCTCCTAAGCACAGTGAAATGGTTCATTCTGTATGTTCATAGATCTAGTTCTCTTACCCCAATCCCTGTTTAGCCAAGGAAACTGAGGCACAGAGAAGAGACCATCCAGAGCATATCCCTTGTACGCTAGCCCATGACAACCCCACGAAGGAACTGTCCCTTTTGCTCATCACTGAGTGCCTAAAGTCTAGGACAGAACAACCTTCAGGGTGCATGTGTTGATGGCAGGTGAGAAGACTCACCAGGTAAAGGTGCTTGCTGCCAAGACTGATGACCTAAGTCTGTCTTCAGAATTCACACAGTGGAAGGAGAGAACTGACTTCCTCGAGTTGTCCTCCAACTCTTTGTATGGGGTCCTCTGGACTCCACAAATGTGCACATTCATAAATAAATAAACAAATAGAACAATACTTGTTGAGGCAGGCATTGTGGTGCACTCTGGTAATTCCAGCACCGGAGAGGCTGAGGCAGGAGGATTGCAGCTTGGAGGTCAACTTGCGCATTATACAGCAAGGCCCTGTCTCAAAACAAACAAACAAACAAACAAACAAACAAAAACAAACAAAACAATCTAAACCAAACCACAACATCCCAAAGCCGGTTGAGTCTCTGAAGCAAAGTAAAACGAGAGAACATAGGACTGAATCCTCTCAATTGGGGACCCTACATCATGCGTGCACATTTTATCTCTGTAATTAATTTCCCCAAATATAAAAAGTAGGGTAGGGAAGGCAGAACTGGGTTTTTCAGTGGTCTCGGTGGCAGCTTGCTGGTGACACAGTGGTGACCTTGAACTTGAATAACTTTGAGGCAGTGACTAGCTTCCTCTTCCGGGAAGGTGGAGTTCGCTGCTACCCTCGTCCTCGCGCTGAAGTCCCCCTGGGGGTCGCCTGGAGTCCCTTTGCTGTTTGCAGACTGCGCTCACCCTACTGTCTTCTGCTCGCTCCCCGCAGCATCAATCACGACCCCAGCCGCATCCCTGAGGACTTGCCCGAGGCACGGTGCCTGTGTCTGGGCTGCGTGAACCCCTTCACCATGCAGGAGGACCGCAGCATGGTGAGCGTGCCGGTGTTCAGCCAGGTGCCCGTGCGCCGCCGCCTCTGTCCGCCGCCGCCGCGCCCGGGGCCCTGCCGCCAGCGCGCCGTCATGGAGACCATCGCGGTAGGCTGCACCTGCATCTTCTGAGCCACCCTGCCCAGCAGCCGCGCAAGCCCGCCTTCCCAGCACTTACTGTATCCCTCAAGGCTGATGAAAAGTAAACGCTGTTCTTTGTAAAGCAAGGCTTGGGACTTGCTCCTTGTGGTTAGGAAGCCAAAATCGGGATTGGGGTTAGGAGACGGATTCCAGATCAGCGTAAAGGATTCCCTGGACTCTTTTGAGTTTGGGCTGGGGATGTTGCTCGGTTGCGGAAGTGCCTGCCTAGCATAAAGGAAGCCCTAGGTTCTGTCTCCAACAGAGTAAACCTGGGGGGTGGGGTGGGGGGTGGGAAGGGGGGTGCACACCCATAATCCGAGCACTTGGGAGGTGGAGGTCAGAAATTCAAGGCCATCCTCAGCCACACAGTGAGTCCCAGGCAACCCTGTCTCAAAAAGAGCTTTTTTCATTACTACCAGTTAGAACAGTGTCAAGCTTCCTTTAATTTGAGGTAGTAAGTCGATGTTGAAGCATGGTTGCCATAAAGGGCTCAGTCTCTCCTGGTTGCTGTCTCTCTTGGTTGTTCTCTCTTGAGCTGCTAATCACAGATGACTGGAAAGGTTGCCCTCAGTGCCAGGATTCTTTTTTATTTAAATAAAAAAATTAATTTTAAAAAAGAATCATCTAAGTCTCTGATATCTGAAACATTTGTATTTGTATTATCAGTGAGTTCATTCTCTAATTTTTTTAAATTTTTACAAAAACTTTATTGAGAATTTCATACACACCTATAAGGTGTTTTGATCAAAACCATGCCCACTTCCTCCCCTCCAACATTCTCCCCTCTGAAGAGGTAACCCTAAAATCTTTTAAGGATTAGATACAAGCTCCCAAATACTTTAGACATTTTTTTTGGCCTTTGGAACAGAGTGTGTTGCTAACAGGCCCAAGGACATTTTGACTTTTAGCTCAGAAACTGGCTACATTTCTTTGTGGTCTTTTTACCCTAACTGCCTAGCCAGTTCCTACCTCCTATTCTTACTCGTCATCCTCTGAAGGGGTTACCCAAATAGTGCCAGGATTCTTTATAGAACAACCCTAGGCCTCCCTGCCTCCCAGCAAAAGGTCCTTCAGTTGCCAAAGAACCCCCAAAATCTTCATTTTTTTTTTTCCTGAAGGTGCGAACCTGGCTTTAAACAATCAAGAGACTAGGTGTGATTATCGCATGCCTGAAATCCCAGCAACTGGGAGGAAGAGGGCGGTCAGGAGTTCAAGGTTATTCTTAGCTACTATCGAGTTTGAGGCCAACCTCAGTCATCCCCAAGCTTGTTAAATAGAGGGCTGGTCTCACACCCAGTGGTACTGATTTAAATGGGGCTGATACTCTCCACTTCTGTGCAGCCAATAGCTTTTTTTTGCATTTCTACCATAGTGGTTCCTGGAGTGCTGATGCTGCCGCTGGGTCCATACTCTGAGAACCATCGACTTATGTCAACACACTCTGCTGATCAACACAGGCAGTACGGAGTTGTCCTAGATCCTATGCTGGCTCTTGCTCCCTGCCTCCCCACTTAGTCCTTTGCAATTTAGTATTCCTGCTTTGGGTCTTCTAACCTCACAGTGAATCCCTAGTCAGCTGTCCTGGGGTCTAAAAATACCCTTCCCACCCCCAAGGACAGCTGAGGGGCTTGGGCTATTTTCTGCTGGTGAGAACAGCTAGCGCTTTGGAGTTGACCTCCTGGAAGGGGCCCACAGCCTGCTGCAGGAACACTTCACTCGTTAAGCTTCTGTGCTTACAGCAGCTTCAGTGTGGAATGTTTTAAGAGTCTAATTCACGAAGCCACTGGTTAGGTATGTGCCTGTTTGGGCTGGAAAGTAACTTACCTTTTTTGGTATTGTTCTAGAGTGGATAGTGGTGAAAATTACCCTGGGAAGCTTCAGCCTGGTTCCAGACACATGGAAAACAGATTTCATGTGCCAGCCCATGCCCATCCTTTCAGCAGGCACTCCTCCTGCAGGGGTTGCTAGTCTCTAAGACCCCACAGATGCTCTCTGGGTTTCTCTCTCTCTCTATTTGCATCTCTGTCTCTGTCTCTCTGTCTCTGTCTCTGTCTCTGTCTCTCTCTCTCTCTCTCTCTCTCTCTCTCTCTCTCTCTCTCTGTGTCTGTCTGTCTCTATCTCTCTCTAAGGGATCAAACCCCAGGACCTTGTTAAGTGTGTGTTTTACCATTGAGCTAGCCCCTGAGCCCTATGCTTTCTGGGTCCCAGGCCCATATGTTAGGTACAAGCTTTCAAGGCCTCATTGGAAGTCAGTGTGGAAGGAGCTGAGCTGCAGGAGGATGACTCTGAGTCCTGGGAGAGTGCAGGTGCCCTGGGTGATGCAGGGAGAGGGGGTCTCAAAGAGCCATCTTTTGATAGAGAGCATCAGAACCCCAGAGATGCTCAGAAAACACTGGCTATACATGGAGGTGCCATTCCTTCCTGCTGGCTGTGAAATGAACAGAGGTTTCAGGATCTCCAGGGTCTTCAGTTTTACCATCCTGTGACTTAAAATCTAGCCTCTTTAAAAATTTATTATTGCAGAGCGTGGTGGCACACACCTTTAATCCCAGCACTTGGGAGGCAGAGGCAGGCGGATCTTTGTGAGTTCAAGGCCAGCCTGGTCTACATAGTGAGTTCCAGGACAGCTGGGGCTACAGGGAGACCCTGTCTCAAAAAGACCAAAAAATTTTTATTATTAATTTTTTGTATTTACTTATGGTATTTCTTTATTTATTATGTGTACATGTATGTACATGCATGCCACATGTGTTTGTGGAGATCAGAGGACAACTCTTGGGAGCCGGTTCTCTCCTTCCACTTGAGGGTCCCAGGGATCCACCTCAGGTCCTCAGGCTTGGCAGCAAGCTCTTTAACCCACCTGGCATGAAGCTTCTTGAGCCTGAGTTAATGGCAGTAGCAGTGAGTTCAGCTTTGGAGAACTGAGTCTGTATTGGATCCTGGAACATTTTTTGGTGTGAAGCTAAAGCATTTCCTGTTTTCCTTTGCCAGTGAGAAACTCCCTCTCTGGGGCAGGTATCTCACCTGCCTTGGTGGGCACTGTACTTCCAGTACGCAGCACAGTTCCTAGAGCAGAATAGAGACACAGCACATGTGAATGAAAGTACTGAGGCCTCTGGGGGTGTCCACCATCTGTCCCTAGCTTCCTCTAGTGCCAATTCAGGTGGGTGGGAGCGAGGCATTCATTCATAATTAAATGTTTGGCTTGGGTTACCTGCTCTTGGAGGTGGAATTCCTGTGCAGGTTTTTTTCTTTTCTTTTTTTCTTTTTTTTCTGAGACAGGGTCTCATGTAACCCAGATTGGTCTTAAACTTACCATGTAGGCAAGGATGGCCTTGAACTTCTCTGATCCTCTTGCCCCACCTCCCGAGGACTGGGATTCTAGGCAGGTGCCGCCATGACCCAGGGCTTTGTGCAAGCAGCATTCTACTGATTAAGCTACATCCTCAGCCCATGTGCAGGGTTTTAAGTGCTCACTGCACTGCACTGAGGACTGTGAGTGAGAAGGATGCCCCCCGCCCCCTTTCTGTTTTGTTGGCCAGATTCATAGGGCTGTCTGGGCATGGGGAGGGAATGTCTGTTCTGGTCTGAGAAGGCTAAGATGGGTCCTGGGACAAAGGCTGGTGCTTCCTTTCTGGAATCCCTCCTGCAAGGAGTAAAACCATGTGATAAACTCTTAGGCTCTGGAAAGCAGGGCTCAAGGCATTTTGAGTGGCTTTGGCTTGGAGCTGTTCGGGCCTGCTCACTCAAAGAAAGGTGGGCCCGAAAAGATGCAGCCAGTGCAGCTGTGTGCCTTGACACGCAGCCCTGCTGAGGACATGCCCTGGGTGTAAGCCATGCCTTCCTTAGGGATGCAAGGCAGGGGTGTTTAGCAGGGTATGTTTTGCATTGTCTTTGGTCCTCTGGTCCAGTACAAGTCATACAATGACATCCCATAACATCTTCAGCCAAAGAAAGAGGCCATCACACATTTTGACTTCAAATTGTAGCACAGTGGCTCCCTCTGCATGTAGCTGGCATCCGGGCTCTCCCCACACACCTTTCCACTGTAACCTGGGCACTTGGTTAAGATCTCTGCTTCAGGGATGGAACCTGATTGCTCTAAGCCAGTCAGTCAGCTTACTCTGTGTCCCTGTGACTGGTCCAACCAATCAGTACTTGGTCCTTCCCTGGCCACAGGAATAACTGCAGGGCTGGGCCAACTCGCCTAGGCTGGGAATCTGGCTTAGTGCTTGTGGGAGAACCTCTCACCTGGGAGCTGTCCCAGCAGTTTAGGCTGTGAGGGAAGTAAGGACCTAGAGAACCCCCAGGTTCTGTGCATGGGCTCAAGTTCTGCTAAGCAGTGACATCTTTAAGTGAGTTTTAGTTTATTTTTTTCTACTTCAATTTTTTTTTTTTTTTAACTGATGTGCCAGTCTTGTGGCTTCTGTAATTCCCAACAGGCACAGGCTACTTGTGGTCTTCATTGCCATTGCCATCATCTGGCACAGCAAAGGGCTCCATGCCAACGTGGAACCCTACTGTCAGGAGGGGCCTTTGCTCCATGCTGATCTCAGTTAAGGAGAAGTTCCAGGTTTGGGTTGTTCTATAAACTTATCAGATCTCAAACAAGCTATGTTCTCACTGTCAGCAGAGGGAAGCAGCCAGGTGACTTTTGGGATTGTCTACTGGGAAAACTTTGGTGCTAACTAGCATCAAGGGTGGTGGTATTTCCTGTGGCACCCAGGCCCTTCTCCTAAAGCCCAGTTTAACAAGTCTGGGTGGGACCTGTTCTTCTGTAACTTAGCAAGCCCCTCCTTTTCCCCCAGGAGACTAGGTGGGATGGGGCCACATGGATTAGGTACCTCCTGCTTCCTTCCTCTGGGCTTTGCAGAAAGGCACAGTTCAAAAGGAATGAAGACACATTTCACTCTCTTCTTTTTTTTTTTTTGGTCTTTTTGAGACAGGGTCTCCCTGTAGCCCCAGCTGGCCTGGAACTCGCTTTGTAGACCATGCTGGCCTTGAACTCACAGAGATCTGCTTGCCTCTGCCTCCCGAGTACTGGGATTAAAGGTGTGCTCCACAACGCCAGGCTTTATTTTTTTTAATATTTTATTATTTTTATTTTATGTGTATGAGTGTATTGCCTGCATGTATGTGAGTGCACCCGTGTCGTGCAATGCCGCAGAGGTCATAAGAGGGCTTCGGATTTCCCTGGAACTGGAGTTAAGGATGGTTCGTGGCCACCATGTGGGTGCTGGGAACTCGAACCCGGGTCCTTTGCAAGAGCAGTTAGTGCTCTTAACTGCTGAGCCATCTCTACAGTCCCTCTTCTTTCTTTTTTTAAAAAAATGATTTAAGCCAGGTGTGGTGGTGCATGCCTTTAATCCCAGCATTTGGGAGGCAAAGGCAGGTGGATCTCCTCTCTGAGATGAGACAGGTCTGGTCTACATTTCAGGCCAGCTGGGGCTACAGAGAGATTAAAAACAACAAAAAAACTAGAAAACCAAACCCACAAAAAAAAATGATTTAAAAGACTTTATGTGCGTGTATGCCTGTCTCTGTGTGTATGTGTACTACATGAGTGAGAGCAGATCCCCAAGGAGGCCAGGGGCATTGGATCCCGGGAGCTGGAGTTCCAGGCAGTGGTGAGCAGCCTGACCACTGAACTCAGATCCTCTGGAACAGCAGTATGTAGTCTTAGTGCCACAGGAGAAGTTAGATTAACCTCCAAAAAGCTCCATCCCAGCATGTTCCTTTCCTCTTCTGGGATGAAGTTCTGGGAGTGAGGTAGGACGGCTCTCTGCCATCTGCGGACTTGCCTTCTTTGCAAGGCAGATCAATGAACAATGAAGTGAATGGTCAGTTTTCCCAGGTGCTGTTGAAAAGCTTCCTTCTTCCTATAACCTAGTCTGTTTCCCTTTTCCCACTGGTTGCCAGGCAGCACAGAGCTCTACTGATAGCAGTGTTGGGGTAAATGTCTCCCGCTGAAGTCTTATCAGTCTTATGCAGTGTTGTTTGGAGATAGTGTTTAAGGTCTGAACTAGAACCCAAACGAAATAGGGCCTACTCCAATTTGGGGTTTTCTGATCTTCCCTTCCACTTAAGTATCTGGTACAAATGTTTGACTGCATTTTGGAAGTTGGTAATGGAAGACAGTAATGAAAGACAACTTGGAGTTCTCTGCCTTCCATTCCCTTCCATGGCCATCTTGGCTCCTATCTAGAAAACCCAAATTAGAAGTGACTTCAGTCAGAGATGCGCTTTTATTTCTTCCTGAACACACACACACACGCACACACACACAAAACGAAGCAGTGGCTTGAATTTCCTTTCTATTTTGTAATCCCTCCCTTAAAAGACAAACAAAAGAAACAACCTCTAAGAGGACCCTTCAACAGGCAGGTAGATGATGGTCACCTGGACCCAAGCTGGGGGAAATCTGTTCATACAGGCGGTTCAGAGGGCGGCTTGGCCAGTGATTGCCGCCTAGTCAACCCTGTGCTGCTGTGGTCTGAGCTCCATCTTCAGTGTGGGACAGTTTCTGGGCTTTCCTTGGAGGCCTCACAGTTCAGTCTTGACTTTATGCATTAAGTCCTTTTGGTCAATCTTATCCAGGTCCTGGTACCAGCGGTTATAAGCCAACAAGGCCACATTCTTGGCAGCTACAGCCATTACCTCCACGGAGCTGGCGGCCCACTCCAGGGCATTGAGGTAGAAGAGCTGGTTATGGAGGGCAAACCTCGGGAGGCCGGGGCGGGAGCCGTAGAGGGGGTGAGCCTGCCACTCGGCTGTCTGGACTGAGTAATAGGAACGGAAGAGGGTCTTTAGCTCTGTCCGGAAGAGAGGCTTGGGAGACTGTACTCGCCACACGGCTGCCTCCTGGGGCTGCTTCCGCCGGAAGCTGGCTGAGATGTTGACAGGACAGATACTGTCCAGAGTGCAGAAGAAGCTGGGGAAATCTGTGGTGAGGATGTTGGTGAAGGGGAAAAGCTTAGGGTCGGGGAAACCAAAGTAGGAAGAATTGAGGTAGCCATGGACCAGGGAGACCACAGTGGGCTGGAAAGAGCCCTGGACATCATCAATGGGTGGGGTGAAGCCCTGGAAGGTAAGGTTACTGCTGCTGTCGTCTAGGTGCAGGGGCGTCGCGATGACCACAATGTCATAGAAGTCGGAGCCGTTGCCCTTCTCACTCTCATACCCCACCTGGTACAGGGCTTTCCCTTCTGGGAGAGAAGAGAGTACAGAAGTCAACTTGTTCCTTGGTTTCTGCCGACTCACCTATTTGGGGCCCAGCATTGGGGGAAGCTGGGCTGATCCTGTCTCTCCTGGGTGAGCCCTGGTCTTGGAGTAAGGAGGCTCAAGTCCTTCCTCTGGGTCTGCTGCTGACTGACTGGGGTGAGGCTGTCACTCAAATCCTCAGTGGTCAAAGGAACAAGGCTGGATTCATGGAAGACAGCGACTTAGCTATGACAGTTAAATTGCAGCAACAGTGCCCTCTAGTGTTAGTGGATCATCCCACTGCTTTTCTGAAAATAATTCTGCAGGGCAGTTTAGGCCTGGGGCAGAGAAGAGGCAGAAGGGTTGGCTAGGAACAGTGTGCCCATCCATACCTCCTGCTCTGTTCACTCACCTGTATTGTGCAGGGTCACAGAGGTCACCGTGGCATGGATCACATTGGCCTTGGTGAGCTTCAGCAAACCAGAACACACCAGCTTGTTGCCCCCTTCCACAGACCACAGGTTGCCCTGGGCTCCAGCTAGTGACATGGCTCCTGGGCAAGGCAGGAAAGGAAGCTGGACCACAAGGCAGTGGGCCTAGAGAGTCCAACATGATCCTCCTTGGGCCTTCCTGCCAGTAATACGCCTTCTAACCACAAGCACAGGGAGACAACAAACATCTAAATATGATTAAGTCCCCAGTGCTCTGAGGGCCAGCCCCAAAGGACTATACAGCAGGCAGTTCTGTTTTTTGGAATATATTGATGGGGAAATCCACAAAAATGGTGAGACATGTGGCTGGAAGGCTAGGGGTATGTGGCAGCTACGTAAAAGGCGTAGCGTTTTAGCCAGGTGTAATGGTGCATGCCTTTGACCCCAGCACTCAGTAAGAAGCAGAGATATACCAATCTCTCTCTGTGAGTTCAAAGCCAGCCTGGCCTACATAGCGAGTTTCAGGCTAGCCAGGGTTACAAAGTGAGACTTTGTCTCAACAACAAACAAAACAAAAAAGGCATGGGGTTTCTTTTAGGGTGTTGGAAATGTCCTCAAACTGTGATGGTTGCACAACTCTGTGGACATACTGAAAACCACGGGAGAATGGGCCTGGTGCCTGTAGCTCCTAGGGGACATGGGCGTCAAATCTTAATACAAACAGGCTATACTGGGTACACACAGGATTCTAGAAGAGTGAGCAGAGACACTGCAGAGGGATGCTGGGGAAGGAACCAGAGGAACAGCATCCTGCACACATGAGAGCTGCCTGTTCATGCCAACTCTTTTACCTTTTTACCCAGAACATGCAAGTGCCTGGCATTGTACCGGTACTGTCTTCAGTGTCTGGGACTTCTCGGTAGACACAAAGGGGCAGGTGTCCTGCCCTTGTGAATCCCACATTCTCTGCTCTTAGGGCCAACCTACCCAATCTTGTAATGAGCTGGGAAGACTGGGTGACTAGCCAATGAACACCTAAGGGTGGGACAGTTCCTGAAACCAAACCATGGATAGCAAAGTGCCACTTCAGCTCTGACACTGATGCATGGTTAGAGATCATAGTTAGAGAGTGGAGGACACATTGGATATGCCACCAGAGCATTGCTTCTGCCATCAATGAAGTGGGGTAAATACCGTGTGCCAACTTGGAGGACTGGCATAAAGGGCAATAGGGGTTGGTGACTGTCACCAAGCCTGACAACCTGAGTTCAATCTTTAGGACCTTCATGGTAGGAGAGAACAGACTCCTGCCAAGTTGTTCTCTGACCTCCACTCACACACCCACACACATATCACAAAGTAAATAAAAAGAATGTGGTAAAAGTACCAAGGCAATAGTATGATGGAAGGGTATCACGAGACTCAGCTCATTCTAAGTATGGTGGGCAGGGAGAACAGGCAGGCAGGTTGAGGGCTGTACACTCACCAGCAAAGGCAGGCATTGCTGCTGACTGGCCATAGCTAGACCGAAGGACAGCAGAGACGACATCATCAATAAAGCGCTGTGTGACGCCCACCTGGAGCAGGGACTCAGCCACTGAGCGCTGGGTCATGTTGACAAAGGCGACCTCCCCCAGCGAGTAGAGCAGTTCTTCCACGCCTGAGAAGGCATAGCCATGGGCCTGATACTTGTAGATCCTAGGAGACGCACGGGACTGTGGTACTGTGCAGAAAGGCGGGTCACCCATCATGAGTTCCCTGTGGGCCTCCCACTTCATCTACATTGTCATGGGAGAGATGTTATGTACCCTTTGTCCTGTTCCATGGCTGTGGTGGACTTGTACCCTCTCCCCCAGGGACGGTACAGAGATAAAGGCAAATACCTCAGGATCCCACTGGACCTGGTTTCTTATTGTGGATGCTGGATGCCAGTTATGCTACCTTCCAGATCTCTTCCTGCCCCAGGTCATAGTTCACATCTTTGGACACAGGGGGCTTCTTCACTAGCTTCTCTGTCCTGGCCTCAAGGACCACGCTGAGCCTGACAGCTTTGTGCTGCCACTGTCCTCTCTACCACCTGATCTGACAGGGCTCTCATTGTGCTGAGCATCTGTCTGGGCCCTCTACTCCTCATCCAAGGTCCAGGACATGCACGGATGGGAATCTCCTCCTGATGCATACTGGACTAGCTGGCCTTTGAACTGCTGCCTTTCTGGACTTGGTAAACATGGAAGCATGCAGAGTTTGGTTTTCGATGGTGCCGCTAGATAGTGGTGTCATGCAGGTTTTCGATGGGGCCACTAGATAGTGGTGTCAGAGGGCAGATAGAAATGTGGGTCTGAGCCAGGCGTGGTGGTACATCTCTGTGAGTTCAAGGCCAGCCTGGTCTACATAGTGAGTTCCAGGCCAGCTGGGGCTACAGGGAGACCCTGTCTCAAAAAGACCAAAAAAGTTTAAAAATAAAATAAAAAAGAAAGAAATGTGGGTCTGTGGGGGCTGGAGAGATGGCTCAGCGGTTAGGAGCACTGGTTGCTCTTGGAGCCCGGGTTCAATTCCCAGCACCCACACGGCAGCTAAGAATTGTCCTTAACTCTAGTTCCAGGGGCTCTGATGCCTTCTTCTGATCTCCACAGGCATTACATGACATGGGTGTACTTACATACATGCAGGCAATACACTCATTATACGTGAAATTTAAAAAAAAAAAAAGAAATGTGGGTCTGGGAGTGGAAGTGGAACTTATCTTCCAACAGTCAGCATGGCAGGTTTGCAGAAAATTGACAAGGGAGAAAAGTATATGAAAGAAAAGACAGGGCAGGTGTGACAGTGGAAGTACTTTTAGGACTTCAGAGGCTGGTGAGTTTGAGGCCAGCCTGGACTACATAGTAAGACTCTGTCTAAAATAAAGTAAAATAAAACCTTTTAAAAGGCAGGAAGCTTGTAAGCATTGAGCATTGGGGAGGAGGGTTGCGAAACACCATGCATGGGCATGATGTGGCTGCGGCACTCATGAATGCACAGCAGCTGCAGTTGTACGCATAGGAATTGTACAAGTCCAGCCCTAAAAGCATTCAGTCATAGACAGGGAGGTGCTCAAAGGGCCCTGCCCAGGGGCTCTAATGACAGACAAGGGTGGCTGGGGGAGTGGAGGATGTCTTCAGTGATGCAGCCACTGGTGAGTTACCAGTGCTCCAGTGGACTGCTGCACACCTATACCCACATGAGTGGCCCTGGGTAAACCCAGTGGATCACAAAGCACGAACACAAACAAAACAAAAAGATATGAAAGTGGGATGAGGACTTGGTGGGAGGAGGGGGACGAGTGCTTGGGAGTGGAAGAAGAAGAAGAGGATGGGAGGATGAATGTGACTAGAGAGTAGTGTATGTGTGTGTGTGTGGTGTGTATGTGTGTGGTGTGTGTGTGATGTATGTATGTGTGGTGTGTATGTGTGTGATGTGTGTATGTGTGGTGTGTGTGATGTGCATGTGGTGTGTATGTGTGTGGTGTGTGTGTGATGTGTATGTGTTGTGTGTGATGTGTGTGTGTGGTGTGTGTGTGTGTATGTGGTGTATGTGTGTGGTGTGTGTGATGTGATGTGTGTGTGGTGTGTATGTGTGGCGTGTGTGTGGTGTGTGTATGTGTGTGATGTGTGTATGTGTGTGTGTGGTATGTGTGGTGTGTGTGTGATATGTGTGGTGTGTGTGCATGTGTGTGATGTGTGTATGTGTGTGGTATGTGTGATGTGTGTGTGCGTGGTGTGTGTGTGTGATGTGTGTGGTGTGTGTGTGTAGGAAACTGTTAAAGAACACATTAATTTTTTTAAAAAATTTATTTTTTTATGTGTATGTGTGTATTGCCTGCATGTAGGTAAGTGCACCTGTGTCATGCAATGCCCATGGAGGTCAGAAGAGGCTGTCAGATCCTCTGGAACTGGAGTTACAGACATTTGTTAGCTGCCATGTGGGTGCTGGAATTCGAACCTGGATCTTCTGCAAGAACAACCAGTGTTCTTAACTGCTGAGCCATCTCTCCAGCCCCAGAATACATTACTTTTTTAAGATTGAAGAAAAAAGAAGAGGTGCAAGGACTGAGCTTTGAGGACATGTGGGGCACAAGGAAGATGCATGTGCTAGTATGGCATAGTGAGGAGGAAGTGAAGTGGCAGGAAGCAGGGAGGGGGCCCTGGGGCCACATCAGGGTACCTGACACTGAGGAGTCAGTGATGGGGCTAGAGGAGCAGCCTCTGCTCAGGGAGCTGGAAGGCAGGAGGTAGAACGGGGAGGGGCTGCTTGGCATGTGAGTGCAGAATGGACATAGACCATGTGTCCTCTCTACCTGAGGCGGGAGGGAGGGGTTGGCACCCAAGAGGAAAGCAGTAGTCAAAAGAGGTATTTGTTCTAGATGGACAAAGTAGGGGCAGCAGAGCTTGCAATGGGTGACCCTAGGCTGCATATGGCCTCCACAAGTGTTTCATTTGGCTCAGAAAGTAAAGTGGTAAACACTGAAAAAATTGGGAGATTTCATGAGTCCTCATGGCTGGCCACAGTGGGCTGCAGCTGGCTGCCTCACAGGTAGCCTTTCTCTTCACGCTGCCCCACCTCCCGTGGCTCCCTTTTCTCTACCACCCAGGTGCCTCGCTTACATACACCCCATTGTAGCCCTTGCAAGTGACTGAATTTGCAATCCAGGCTTCAGAAGGAAGGAGAGAATGAAGGTTAGTGTGGCGAGGCCAGGGGCACCAACCCTGCCCTACCTGGTCCCCAGGCCTGGGCTGAAATGTGCATGGTCCTTGTCCCCACATTCTATACTCTTTCGCAATTTCCAATCAACCAAGTCTTCAGCAAGCCCTTCCCTGGCAGCCCAGCCCTACCTCATGAACTTCTCCATGACCTCCTCCACCCACATCTGCAGCCTCAGGAAGCTGATGCCGTAGTGCCACCAGAGGCGGAAGAGGTTCAGCAGGTACCAGTCGGTTTCCTCCAGCATGAAATGCTCCCCGCCGAAGATGGCACTCCTGCCCACCACCTCACGCCGCTGTCTCAGCCCTGCAGAGATCAGCAGCCTCTCAGCTCCTCGTAACCCCCCCCCCCCCGAAACCTGGCAGAACCTTCAACTTTTGTATTGGGGCTTTCCTGATGCAACAGCTGCAACTGTCTGGTCTGTTCTTTGTTCTGTCCGTCTGACTAAGTGACTAAGAAAATGAAAATACACCATTTTATACTTCTTTCAACAGGGATCTGCTCAGCCAAGCAAGAGGGAAATTGTGCCACCCCAGAATGTCTACAAGCTGATGTGGGCAGGGCTGGCTTGAGATGTGGATTTGGGCTCCAAGGTCACATGCTGTGATAACCACAATTCCTTCTAGCTGCTCAGCACGCCACAACTCAGAGAATGTGTCTATGGCTATGACTACCCTCCACTCCACACACCATACACACTGCCCTGCTCCACAGCAACAATCCTGGTGTTCTAAGTTTGACTATAAAGGATTTTTCCATTCTGGGGGCTGGCCAGTCTTCTACATACTTACACAGCATTGTATCTCACCCAGGTACAGAGGGTGGGCCAAGAGGACATTTCCAACCTGCTATTCCAAACCTTGCTACAGTGAACAAGCTTGCATGTACTTTGTACTTCAGCAAGATGTGCTCCTGCAGGACCACTTCTGAGAAGTGCAGCTTTTCTGCACCAAACAGCCTGTGTATTGTAGTTTTGATAAGATGATGCTGGCTTTGAATCCCAGCTTTCTCACTTATTAGCTGTGTGGTTTCAACTGAAGTATGTCAGTTTTCTGAGCCTCAGTTTCCTTAGGGGGAGATCTGTCTCCCATCCTGCAGGCTGATAGGATTTGAGGCAATGTCCACACATCACCTAGTAGAGTACCAGTTACCTGGTAGGCACCAGGATGCGGACACTGATATGATCACAATAATTCAGAGGCAGCAAACTGAAAGGGAAAGAAACTGGCCTGGGAGTCAAACCTGAGTTCTAATCCCGGCTCTGCAACTAACTCACTGTGTAACCTCAGGCAAGTTCTTTCCCCTCTCTGGTCTCAGCTGCTCCATCTGTAAAATGAGGAGATCGGGCTAAATGACCATCCAACCATAAGGATTTGGCTTGGGGCGCTGGGCGCCAGAACCCTGGGACTGGACACTCACCCAGGAGCTTGACGAAGTCCTGCATGTGGAGGCTCAGAGAGTGGAAGGAGGCTGCTCCACTCTCGTAGTGCTGCTTGTTGACGGAGATGGTGGCCAGGCGGCCACCCACAGTTCCCTTCTCATATACGACAATCTGCACTCGGGGTCCAAAGTGCTGCTGGAGGAAATGGGCCACAGCAGAGCCCCCGATTCCGGCCCCAATAACGGCTATCAGCAGGTCCGGAAAGAAGCAGAAGAGATGGCACAGCATGAGAGAGACAAGTTACTTTTGCATCTTCCTGTGGAGAGCAGAGGCTCCTGGTCCCTGCACTTCATAGGCTTAAGGCATTTCAAAGGGGAAAATCCATAATCTGAATTATCAGCACCACCAAGTCAAACAAGCAAAGGTTGGCCCCCAAGCTGCACCTGCTACCGCCTTCACTGGGACAAAGGAAGACTCCAGCAGCAAAAGAGCAGGAAAGAAACCCCAAATTCAGAATGCTTGGTTACAGAAAATAAATTGGCTTGTGAGATGGCTTAGTGTATACAAGCGCCTGCTGCCAAGCCTGATGATCTGACTTTGACTCCTGGAACCTTTGTGGGGTAGGGAGAGAACTGACTTTGCAAGTTGTTCTCTGACCTCCACATGAGCACCATAGTGTACATGCGCCACCTCTCCCACAGTCAGTCAGTCAGTCATCAATCAATGCATGTTTAAAAAAGAATAAGTTTAGCTTTTTACAAAATTCCCTATCTTCCCTGTTTTACTTAATATTTCATTATTAATTGGTGAATACTATTACTGACCAATCACTGTTGTTGGTGGACTGGAGACCATTTCTTGATTTGGGGGTCAGCAAACCACAGCTTGTAGGCCACAATCCAAGTAAGGCTGGTTTCTGCCATTTTATTGGCAGAGGTTTTTCTTTTTTGAGATGAGGGTCTGATGCTGGGGTTCTGAGATGCTGCTCAGGCTGGCATTGAACCCCTGGGCAAGTGATGCTCCCTTTCAGCCTCCTAATACTGGAGAGTGCATCCGTCAGCAAAGCTTAACTGGAGCACAGCTTTGCTTTTACTTATTGTCTGTTCCTTTCATACAAGGTAGACAGAATGAGAGTGTGCAGTGGCCCACAAAGACAGACTAACGTATTTATTCTCCAGCCCTTTGCAAGCAAAGTTTGCCAACCCCTGGTCAAAGTCCAACCTACCACTGGATGCTTAAATCATTTCTGTGTTTGCCAAGACTGGAACACCCCCTCCCCTGTGATGGGCTACTCTCACTGCCTTATAGGGCCCTCGGTTCCAGTTTGGGCTCTTGCTACAGTTTCTGCTTTGGATCCTAGCATCCACTGTCTCTATCACCTGCCTTCCTGTTATTTGCAAGCTTAGCTTATATACCAGTTCATGTGTCGGTCTCATCCAAATCACAGATAAAACAGTTTACTGGACAGAGCTCCTGGGTGCTACTGGGAACATTGTCTAGATAGATAATGGTCAATAGTCCTGAGAGAGGAGTAAGTCAGTTATTCAAACCCTGGGCTGGGCTATCGCCTTACCTGCAAATCTGTCTACTGTGTATCTGAAACACTGCTTTCTTCTCATTGATAGCTCAGCATTCCCATCCACACAGGCAGCAAGATAAATTGCCTATCATTTGTCTTTACTGGACCCATGTTGGTGATCACCAGCTCCTGCCAAGAAGGGACAGGCAACCCCAGAACACAAGGCTCTTCTCAACTGACCTCCTCTCCCAACACTCTGCCTTCTTGTCCGGCTAGCACAGCACATGCCTTTACCTGACTGACCTGGTTCTCTTGTCAACTCTGTGACCAAGTCACTGACTTCTACAGTCCTCAGTGGTTAACTTCAGCTCTGCTTGCCTGAGCCACCTAAGATGAGGGAAGTATCTCATGCATATTTGAGCAGCACACTGCCCTTGCCATACCATATTCAAATGGTCCATTTAAGAATGGAGAGAACTCACCTTACCTCTAGACCCTGGGAGGCAGAATCCATCAAGAATCTGTTTGCATTTTGAAAGAGCACTCTTTCTCAGTACTTGCAAAGCCACTTCCAGAAATGTCCTTAACCTCTTCTTAGCCACTCTGTGCTCTTCTACTTTTCCTTTGTAAACAGCTTCCTAAATCACCCATTTTCTCCAAAGAAACATATTTTGAGCCTGGAGGCACTCCCCAAACCCTAAACCAGGCCATAGGTAAGATGCTATGTCACTGAGAACAGGCTCACAGAACACACATAATGGACACTGCCCTGTTCTATAAGATGTGCCAAAGCTCAAAGATGAACCACATAGGGTTTTGGTTCCCCAAGAACTCAGCAACCAGTGGGCACAGACTCATGCACAATCGGCTAGAACATCCATGACAAAGTAGGACAACAGGCTTTTGGGGAGTCCTGAGGAGGAAGAGATAGATACTGCCGGAGGGGATGTGGGGATACAGGCTGCACAAGGAGAAAGTACCTGATCCTGACCCTAGAGGACATTGTGAGTGACCACAGGAGCAGCTTGAACAGAATGTTGAGGGGGACTTTATGGGGTCTTTGGGGACACTCCAAGGCAATCGGATGGGATCCTGTTGGATGGAGTCCAAAGATTATGCCACTTAACAGGAAGATTTTTATCTTCCTTCTGGGTCTAGTTCATGTCACCAAGAGAAGACAGCAACCAGGAAAGTTAAAGGGCAGCTTGGCATTGATCTGGGGGGTCTTGGGTGAGGTGGGGGAGAAGCAGCTGGAAGGGGGTAGGTTGCAAGCACTGCACTGCCATCCCAGGAAAGAGCACTCTATCCCAGGTCCCTCCACACCCACCTTCTCTACAAGGCCATCTCTGAATATCCTCTCTCTCAGCATTCTCTTGCTCATGAACTCAGCCCCAAATAAAATTCTGGCTTTAGTCACCTTTAACATTTTGCGTCCTGGTTGTAGTTTTCTCACACAAGCTCTGGGATTGCACTGGTTCCAGCAAGTCTACGGTGCTCCAAGGCACCCACTAGTAACACTAGAATTGGCACTATGTCCTCCCACACCAGGAGCCCAGCATCTTTGGTGGGAATTTTATGTGGAAGGTGATTTGAAAATCTTTGAGTCATGGGGAAAAAAGCAAACATGGAACTAACAACGACGGCAGACATGAAGTATTTAGCGATGCATCTTTGTGTCTGCAATTTATTTTGAAATGCATCAAAATATAGGATGAGTTCTAACTAAAAGGATGCATGATGGTGACAAGGTGAGTGGAGTCAGTGGCAAACAGCACAGTCTGGGTGTTGGGCATGCAGACGATCATTGTAAAATTCTTTCAACTTTACTGTATGTCTGAAGAATTTCACAACGATATGCTGCGGAAAACCACACCAAAAATAAAGACTGCCATTAAGGGCTCTCCACGCTGGAGCTTTGAAGCTCTGTGGTAGGTTTGTCTAACATGCTTGAAGGGGAAGAAGCTCCCTATTCTGTCATCCAGCACATCTATCCCCTGCAGACCTATTGTTCTGTCTTCTGGAACTGCCTTCTACAGACCGGAAGTTCTGGCTTTGATTTCTAGGAAGCCTTTTCAAAGCTAGCAAAACCCGCTGGTGAAGCACGAAGCACTCTGCAGGCGCAGAACTTTCTCAGACTAAGGACCTAGTGTCCTGTGTCCTCCAGCAGAACCACAGCGTAGCCTGTCACACACAGGGCCCTCTGCAGACCACCGCGAACATCACCACCCAGCTCCTGGCCTCCGTCAGCTGTGATCCAAGCCAGGAGCTACATTCCCGGAGGATGCTAGGATCCTGCACCTTTCAAAGCGCTGGCTGTCAGCGGGCCATACCTGTCCAGGCCTCTTCTGTCCCAGGTGGCCCTCTTCACGCGCCCGCGCCACCCTCCTCACCAGCACGCCCTTCCCAGTCCCAGGTCTTCGCCTGTCCTGCACCCAGTTCCTCTCCGGAGGAGCCCTTCCACATCCAGCTGCTCTTCCCTGCCCCCAGCCAGCTGCAGCCAGCTGCGAACCCTTTTCCCGCCCATCCACCTGAGGTAAGCCCCCCTCCCTATCCTTCCCGCACCGATTTTGCTGGGCGGGGCATCTCCCCCTGCAGCTGCAGCGGCGAGAAGCGTGGCCAGCACGACGAAGAGCCAGGCAGCGCGGGCCATGACGGGCGGCAGCCAGGCAGCACGCGGCGGCTCAGAAGCTAGCCGGTTGGCGCTCGGTTCCCCGCCCCGCCCCGCCGCCTCACTGGCCGGTCCGCCTTCAGCTTGGTTGGTCCTTAACTCTCATTGGCCGAGAAACCGTCTCTCTGCAGTACGAGGTCCCCATTAGCTACATCTGTCTCCCGGAGGGCTCAGTCATTGGTAGTGTCCCCGTCCCTCCTCCCGGATGCGGCATCTTCATTGGCTGGCTCATTCGGCTCTGGCGCAGATGTGTGCCTTAGTAGACTCTCAGCACCAGGACCAGAGATTAGCTGCTCAGAAACATACTTAAGTCGCAACCTCGGAGAGTTATACAAAACCTTCTGTGTCTCTGTCTCCCTTTTCATTAGACGGGGTGGAGCATAATCCCAGAGCTACCTTTGTAAATTAATGTGATGTTGCCTAAGGGACGTGAGTCTCCAAGTGCTGGAAGCTGCTGACGGTCACTAGACGCTGCCTAATACACATGCTGCAAACAAGCGCATACGCACCTGATAGTGTAGTTTTCAACTTTTACAGTTTACCTCTGCTTTCTACCTTCTCTCCTTTATTCTTATTTAGATACAGGGTCTCGTGTAGCTTAGGCTGGTCTGGGGCTCACTATGTGTGGAAAGATGACCTTGAATTGTCATGGCAATTCTGCTCAGCCTCTCAGTTGCTGGGATTACAGGCTTGAGCCGCCATTCCCGCTCTTCCTTAATTAAAAAAAAAAAAAATCCCTCTTAAATTTTATGTGTATGAAATGTTTTGCCTACGTGTACATTAGGTTTGTCCATGTCATGTAATGCCCGTGGAGGCCAGAACTCTCTGGAACTGGAGTTACTGATGATTGTTTACCCCATCATGTGGGTACTGGGAACTGAACCCAGGTCCTCCACAAGAGCAGCCAGTGCTCTTAATGGCTGAGCCATCTCTGTAGCCCCTCTTCTTTTTAAAAAATATTTTGTTATTTTTATCTCATGAGTGTATTGTCTGCATAAGCGCACACAAGATGTGTGATGCCCGAGGAGACCAGAAGAGGGTGTCAGATGCCCTGGAACTGGAGTTAGAGACAGTTAGCCACCATGTGGGTGCTGGGATTCAAACCCAGGTCCTCTGTAAGAGCTGTCAAGTACTCTTAACTGCTGCCATCTCAGTGGTCCTGTCCACTCATTCAGTGGCAGGTTTTTAAAACAATCCCAGTATTTTACGTCTGAATTGAGTCAGTTCCTGTGTCCAACCTTGAATCTCACTGGCGCTTTGTGATTGCTTGACCAGTATGATACAATGAACATGCTTGAACTTCCTGTCATCCAGCAAATCTACCTCCTGCAGACATACTGTTGTCTTCCTTATTTTAAAAACAAGCATTTGCTGATCATTTTGTCAGTCTCTTATATGCTGAGGTGACTCTTTTTTTTGGTAGGGGAAGTCATATTGACTTTAAAGTTCATCATCTTGGCTCTCCACCTTGCAACACTGGGGTCCTTTGAAATAATCACTTAATTTGCCCAAAAAATATACACTTTGGGCAGGGTTCTGTGAGATCAGCTCATCTAATCACTTGGGTGGTCCCACTTGTATGATGGTTCACTAGTGGACAAGATGGTATTGGCTTGGTCGGAGCTCTTAGCTCCTCTCCACCCAGTTGGCAGGTTCTTAGAAGTTAGATTCCAAAGGTAAGCACCTCAAGACAGGGGATGGGCTACCAGTTTTTAAGGTTTGGGTCCAGAGACCGACAGTGTCACTTCATTGTATCATACTGGTCAAGCAATCACAAAGCTCCAGTGAGATTCAAGGACAGAACAGGAACAGACCTCAATTCAGATATAAAATACTGAGGTTACTTTAAAAGCCTGGCACTGAACTTGAGAGCATGAGCCAAGCCTGAGTGGACATGAATAAAATGCATTTACTGACTAGCTGGGACCAGAGGAAGCAATGGATTAGGGGCCAATGGAGTCACGGTATATAGACAGGACTGGAGGAATGATGAAGTTGGAACGCCAAATCCCAGGACTGTTAGCTCCAGGAAGCTAGTACATGGGAGCCAACTGAAGCAGAGGCCAGCAGACACTTAGAAGTTGGAAGCTGAAGGTCAGACCCAGGACAGATGCTAGTTTGTGTGTGTGAAATGCAGTTGTGTGCACTTATAAGCCAGAAGACAGTCAGTGTACTCTACTGCACATCCCTTGAGACAGGGTCTCTCACTGAACCTGAAATTCACTGTCTGGGCTAGGCTGGCTGGACAGAAAGCTTCCAGATCTGCATGTCCCTGCCCCCAAGGCTGGGGTTACATGAGTGCTGGGAACTTGAACTCAAGTTGCCATGTCATCTTCCCAGTCTGAAGGATGTTAGTAATCACTAGGATTGTCAGAAGTCAAACAGAACAGCTGTTAATAGTCAATGCAGATCAAGAAGCAAACATAAGAAATAAGGCACCACCACATAGGAAGGCAGGAATAGAATCTAAGAAAAACAGGAAAATCAAGGAAAGGAAAAATATCCAAGCCTCATCAGGCAGGGTGTGGGAAAACCATTTCTGATGTTTATTGAAGCGATGGAACATACCAGGATACAGTATGAATCAGGCTTAAACCTGAACACACTGGGCATACTGCTGAGTGATACAGCACTTGCTTATCCTGGGGGAGGCCTTCTAATCTTTCCCCAGAACTGCAAAAACAAAACCAATGAAACCTGAATTTTAGTTGCTGATTTTATTTAATTCAGATTTTATTAAAGTTGTTTCTTAATATTACACTTCATCCTTAATTTTCCCTATTTGATTCTGCTTTAACATTTTAAGAGCCTTTTCGTTTATCAAACTTTTTGTCATGAATGAGAGCACAAAACAACTTGTATCAGCGCCAAATTGACTGGCTCCTGCATGGCAATAAGGAAAGTCAGTAAAAGATTTGTGGAATCCAAGTACTACAACACTAAACCCACCATTTTCTTACAGCCATGGTCTTTTCACTTTACCACCAAGATGAAAATAATTAAAGGCACAGACACAATTTTCTTTTTCTCTCAGTCTAAATGTGTAGATTTCCTGTGACAAGGTCAATAAGACAGAAACAAAGAACAAAACAGGAAGGAAAAGAATTATGAATGATTAGCTTACAAGTCTTTTTTAAATTTCTTTTTTATTTTTGTCGTTTTGAGACAGGGTCCCCCTGTAGTCCCAGCTGTCCTGGAACTCACTATGTAGACCAGGCTGGCCTTGAACTCACAGAGATCCGCCTGCCTCTGCCTCCGGAGTGCTGGGATTAAAGGCGTGCGTCAACATGCTGGGCTACAAGTCTTTTTTTTTTTTTTTAAAAAAAAAACAACAATCACTTAACCACGCTCACCTCTTCCCTAGACTTTAGGCAACTATAAAAAGGAAAAACAATGTGATAATTTAAGCAATACAAATAAATACGGAGGGCCTACTGTAGTAGGCAATTTTCACGTTTCGTGTAATCCTCACAGTATCGTAAGAGAATTATAACCATTTATAGACAAACTCAGCAGAGTGGCGCCCAAAGTCACACAGGTCAGAGCCGGACTGCGGTCCATGCCTATCAAGTTTTGCTTGGCTACACTGCTCTGCCTCCCCTCGCCCTCGGCTTTTTGCTACCATAGCTTCAGCTTCTAATTCTAAACTTACAGCCTAAGTCTGCAAAACTACTGAATAATAAATGAACCTAAAATTATTCTCAATCTATCTGCAAAACCAGGTAGAAAGAATACTAGAAAACTCTTCAGACAACAGAACAATCCATACCTAATTCCATTCCAGTTCACTGGCAGTAACCCCCAAATACACAGTTCATGTTATTGTTTCTGTCAACTCAGAAGTGAAGGCAAAAAGAAGCAAACTCCAATTTACAATATGCATTTTGCAGACTGCCAAAATAATATTTTGAGACAAGGTCTAATTACACAATAGAGCACGGCTGCCCCAGCGCTGGGATCATAGGTGTGTGCCAACATGCCTGGTCAGGAGAATCTTCTGATTGCATTTAAAAAATGTTGTTTACTTGTCAGACCTTCTCCCTCCAAAGCACTTTATATTACCTCCAACTCCTGTTTTTTAATTTTTAGATTTTACTTGTATGAGTTTTGTCTGTAGGTATGTAGGTGCATGTGTGCAATGCCCATGGAGGCCAGAAGAGGACGTTGGATCACTTGGAACTGTAGTTACAGATGGTTGTTAGGCACCATGTGGGTGCTGGGAACTGAATTCAGGTCCTCTTCAAGAACAGCTGGTGCTCTTAACCACTGAGCCATCTCTCCAGCCTCTATTTGTTCTTTTAGGTATTTAAAATCCAATGGAGACAGAAGAATGGTTTTATTGATACATGTCAGTGTTTTACTTCTAAGGGCAACTTACCACTCCAAATATTACTGGAGGTCTGAGACTACCATCTGACACCTCAAAGCACCCTCTTTGGTATAATATTGAGCTGGCTATTTTGAGAAACTGCAACACAGGCATTCTGAGAGGCTGTCTTCAAAAAAAAAAACCCAAAAAACAAAAAACCACACACAAGCAGAAAGGAAATCTACATTAGCAAAGGTGTATGTGGTAGAAAAAGGACTGCAACTTCTATTTCCTGACTTTTTATCTGCATAAGAAGACCATCTTTATTCACCACTTCTCTCCACCTTTCCAACTTCTGGAAGCTGGAAGTTCTTGTTCTATAGCTCAGGATGTGGTGTAAGTATCAATTAACTGACACCTCGAGGCTCACATTTGGCAGGACTCTCATATTTATGTATACAACGAAATAAGGTTTTTCTGTTAATCCAGTTTGTCAGTTTAATTTGTAGTCCAGTCAAAGACTTTAAAAGGATTGAGTCTAGTCCTTTAAAAAAGACTAATTTTTAACCTTCAGAAGCAGCAGAAAGGGTGAGGTTAAAGACTTCTTCAAACACTAAAATAGCTCTGACCTCTTTTATAAAGTTTACCTCATGTATTATTCACTCATTAAGCTATTTATTGGACACATCTTTTATACAACATCAGCTATTAAGTCTGAAAAAAATTATAGAGGCTCATAAAGTTTACAAAAAGGAGCTAGATGCTCATATAAATACGGTTTAAGATGAACAAAACAACTAGAAAATAAAGCTTGTCAGGGTTGAGGGTATAGCTCAGTGGGAGGTAGCGTGCTTGCCTAGCATGCATGAAACCCCGTGTTCAGTACCCAGCACTGCAAAAATGATACTTAAGTTTGCTGATGTGAGAGGTAGTAATTTGTCAGTACCAAATCATTACCATTCGGGAAATACTGTCTATGGCTGTATCCCCTGAATACACCCCATGTCTTAAGTGACAAGTGATCTAGCATTTTCATCCTGTCACCGCTCCCCATAATCTAATGTAGGACCCCACAGCAAATATGACAAAGGGCAGAGGCATCAGGGCTGGTGGAACGAGTAGTTGTAGATAATTACCCACACAGACTTGTTTAGACCATTTGCTGTTGGTGCTGCCTCAGTTTACCTGAAGTTACTACATACCTAACAGGCTACAAATAACTTGCTTGAAAAGGAAGACTCTGCCTTCCAAGTCTTGCCTGAACCTTTAGTCCTTCCAAATGGGACTGGAAAGGGGCAAATAGAGAACAATGTGAGCGTGGCCCTAGCAGGGACTGCAAGCACAAAAGGCGGCTACATGGGAGCATTTCATGAAGAGGCCATGAAAATCTATCCATATAAATCAACCCAAATGATCTAAATTTACACAAGGGTAAAGCTTTCCACCTAAGTACCCAAATGTCAAACCAATTCCTACTGTCTCCTTGGTCTCATAAAATTCAAGACACTACTATACAAGAACCTGTATTCATTCCAGTAATTCGCTGAAAACAGTTTAAGAGGATTTTGGATTCAAAGCCATCAGAGTACCAATCTAAAAATGATTTTTGTAAACATGTTTTGATAAAGGCCATAGAAACTCTTGCCACATTGTCCAAATGCCTAATGGAAAGACTTCTGATGAGGCCAAACAGGTCACATAAACCAAAAGAATATCTTAGAAATAAAGCCAATATGACTAAATCCAAAACAGACCACATGAAGTACCTCATGTACAATACAAACCTAGTTTAATAAATAAAGGAAACAGGTGCCCGTACTCTGGGAGAATATTTAGTTCCTGATGCCTTGTTCATAGCCTTCTCTGAGACTCCACTGCCACTTCCACCCGGGCAAGTCTAATGGTGCGACCATGGAGTTTGTAGCCGTCTTGTCGTACTAATGCCACTGGACCATCTTTATTCACCACTTCTCTCCACCTTTCCAACTTCTGGAAGCTGGAAGCTCTTGTTCTATAGCTCAGGATGTGGTGTAAGTATCAATTAACTGACACCTCGAGGCTCACATTTGGCAGGACTCTCATATTTATGTATACAACGAAATAAGGTTTTTCTGTTAATCCAGTTTGTCAGTTTAATTTGTAGTCCAGTCAAAGACTTTAAAAGGATTGAGTCTAGTCCTTTAAAAAAGACTAATTTTTAACCTTCAGAAGCAGCAGAAAGGGTGAGGTTAAAGACTTCTTCAAACACTAAAATAGCTCTGACCTCTTTTATAAAGTTTACCTCATGTATTATTCACTCATTAAGCTATTTATTGGACACATCTTTTATACAACATCAGCTATTAAGTCTGAAAAAAATTATAGAGGCTCATAAAGTTTACAAAAAGGAGCTAGATGCTCATATAAATACGGTTTAAGATGAACAAAACAACTAGAAAATAAAGCTTGTCAGGGTTGAGGGTATAGCTCAGTGGGAGGTAGCGTGCTTGCCTAGCATGCATGAAACCCCGTGTTCAGTACCCAGCACTGCAAAAATGATACTTAAGTTTGCTGATGTGAGAGGTAGTAATTTGTCAGTACCAAATCATTACCATTCGGGAAATACTGTCTATGGCTGTATCCCCTGAATACACCCCATGTCTTAAGTGACAAGTGATCTAGCATTTTCATCCTGTCACCGCTCCCCATAATCTAATGTAGGACCCCACAGCAAATATGACAAAGGGCAGAGGCATCAGGGCTGGTGGAACGAGTAGTTGTAGATAATTACCCACACAGACTTGTTTAGACCATTTGCTGTTGGTGCTGCCTCAGTTTACCTGAAGTTACTACATACCTAACAGGCTACAAATAACTTGCTTGAAAAGGAAGACTCTGCCTTCCAAGTCTTGCCTGAACCTTTAGTCCTTCCAAATGGGACTGGAAAGGGGCAAATAGAGAACAATGTGAGCGTGGCCCTAGCAGGGACTGCAAGCACATGAAGAGGCCATGAAAATCTATCCATATAAATCAACCCAAATGATCTAAATTTACACAAGGGTAAAGCTTTCCACCTAAGTACCCAAATGTCAAACCAATTCCTACTGTCTCCTTGGTCCCATAAAATTCAAGACACTACTATACAAGAACCTGTATTCATTCCAGTAATTAGCTGAAAACAGTTTAAGAGGATTTTGGATTCAAAGCCATCAGAGTACCAATCTAAAAATGATTTTTGTAAACATGTTTTGATAAAGGCCATAGAAACTCTTGCCACATTGTCCAAATGCCTAATGGAAAGACTTCTGATGAGGCCAAACAGGTCACATAAACCAAAAGAATATCTTAGAAATAAAGCCAATATGACTAAATCCAAAACAGACCACATGAAGTACCTCATGTACAATACAAACCTAGTTTAATAAATAAAGGAAACAGGTGCCCGTACTCTGGGAGAATATTTAGTTCCTGATGCCTTGTTCATAGCCTTCTCTGAGACTCCACTGCCACTTCCACCCGGGCAAGTCTAATGGTGCGACCATGGAGTTTGTAGCCGTCTTGTCGTACTAATGCCACTGTGCCCGGCTGTACCCCAACACCAACTGGCACATGACAGATGAGTTCATGCTCATGAGGGTCGTATTTGTCACCGATGGGTGTCATCTTTTCTAGGCCATGCTTGGAAAACACGCTTTTCAGCTTTGCCTCTAAAAGAGACAGCCCACGGAAGACTTTCTCTAGAGTGAGCTTGTGGTCTTCAGCTTCTGCTCCTTCTGAAAAGCACTCAGTGGTCTTCTCCAAAACGTCGGCCACCTCCACCAAGTCCTTACAGAAGCTCTGGATTCCTAGAGAGACCAGCCACATATGTCTGAGAACAATATCTACTGCCTTGAGGACTGGGATTTGGAGTAGGCCCAGACAGGTGGTCATATACTGTATAATGAACACTTCTAAAATGCCACACAGGACGGGATCATCTTAACCATCCAGTTCAACCAACAAGAAAATCACTTTTTTGGAAAGTGTTTATGTGTATGACCAGGAAAGTTACTGGAGAACATAGAGGAGGGCTAGAACCAGGGATCAGTAAGTCTACACATAGCTGCTATTCACCTTTGGTATTAAGTACATTTTGAAAATTCTGGTTTATCTTAGTTGTACAAAGGCCATTCTCAAAAGAGATAATAGGTGTTCCAGCTCTGGACATCTTGTAGGAAGTGTGATTCTGTGTGCTGTGTGAAGTGTTATTTTCATTTCAATAATCCTTGGCTGTGTTGTGACTGAAAAAAAAAATAGGGGAAGGTAACATTTTACTGGCTGTGTGTGTGCACACGCGCGCACATGTGTGTAGCACATAAGAGAATCCAGCTAAGGATGTCAAGGGGGATTGATTCTTGAGGACTAGCTAAATGGGAATGCAAAGGAAAGGCACACCTACAGAGAAATGAGTCTCCTAACTGCCTGTTAGGGAGTTCCTGGAAAAGGTCACAAAATCATTTGAGCAATATGAACTGTTACAAGATAAACAGGAACTCAGTTGTTGGGAAGTCCCACTGCTCCCACTCTGACGAGGACAAGGAATGTCATCATTTATGTCATAATGCCAAGAAGGGGCTGGTGAGGGGCAAGAACTTTGGTAATCTGTGGACAGGTTTAAATAGGCAGCAGCCTTAAGGGTATTCAGAAGTAAAAAGGAAGACCAGCCACAGGCAGCAAAAAAAGACCTGCTGAGAAGGAGACAGAAAAACTAAAGGAGAAGAAACTTCCCAGTGGTAGAGACCAGTGGAGCTTCTTGAGGAAAAAAGTGGAAACTTGATTCAAATTAGTTGACTAGCAACATGCATAATAAATTAGGGGCATGGTCAATGGAGCTGGAAGGGAGGAAGAAATAGAAACAGGTGAAGTAACGTGGTATGATCTAGTTTAGGAGAGGAGGCAACCAAGAGGGAAGGGTGAAAGCAGAAGGTGTTTCCAGGGAACAAGACCTGGTTGACAGCAGAACTCAGGTTGCCCCCCGCCCCAGTGTTGGGGATTAAGGCAGCTTTCATACACTATGTCAGTGCTGCTACTGAGCTACATCTCTAGCCGTCTAGTAGAATTTTGAAAGCAGCAAGTTTCAGTGCTGATCTGTGTACTGCCAGGAGAGACCTTGCACCTACGTCAGTGAAGCTTTAGGAATTTGGGTAAACAGAAGCTTAAGTTCTTAGGTGTGATATGTGTGTATGGCTGCATGTGTGTCAAATATGTTTGCCTGTGTGCACACAATGTGTGGAGGCCACAGGCAAACACTGGGCATTCTGCTCTATTGCTTGCCATTATTTTATGGAGACACGTCGCTCAGTGAACCTGGACCTCCCCATTTTAGACAGACTGAATGGCCAGTGAGGTACCAGGATCCACCTGTCTCTTCCTTCCCAGTGCTGGGGTTGCAGCCACAAATTGCCAAGGCTATCTTTATTTTTTAAATGTAAGTTCTGCAGACCCGATCTCAGGTTTTCATGCTTACAGACCAAGTCCTTTACCCACTGAGCCATCTCCCCAGCCCCAATTTACTGCATTATTTTAATAGAAGCAACTACACAATCTCTTAGAAAATGGGGTCTTTGTGACCAAAAAGGTACACTAGTTAGAAGTACCGTTGAAGGCCACAGCTGTGCATATCCCTTCCACACATTGGCTTCCCTCCTCCTTCCATGCTAACCCAACAGGCCTTCAGTTTCTAGGTATCTCTGCCCACCATGAAGAAATTCTGGAGGCAAAAGACTTCTGTGGTACCTCTGGCCACAAACATTTTGTCCTAGTAAAACTGGTTAACTATCAAATTCTTTTGAAGTTGGTTAACATGGGTTTGTTCCCAGATGCCTTGCCATTTTTTGAGTAAGGTGATTAGTACGCTAGTTATAATTCAAAGTTTGACTTCTGGTGGTCCACCCATCTTGCTTATCAAGGAGCTGCAAGGACAGAAGTTTCCACTACCATAACTGTTCCATTTGCTAGAGATTTCCATAGCTCAGAGACCAGTAACTTTCTTCCATAAAAGGCCACACAGTTAGTATTTTAGGCTTTCTGAAGAGGCAAAAATAAGGATTTTTATGCTATGCAAGTGATATATAGCCAAGAGAAAACAAGTTTCTATGGATATTTTATTTTTGTTTTCTTTCCCAACCCCCAGGGACTTTTTCTGAAATCACGAACTTCAATACTGTATGGACTAACTGGTAGCCAGCTATGGTTTGCTAAGCCCGGCTATAAACTTGGATTTAAGAAGTTATAACTCGGGTGAAATATCTGGATTGTAAACTGGGGATTAGTGTTTCACTGACCCGGAGCTGTAAGGCAGGAAGTACAGAGCACTGAATAAAGCGCAGTCTGTGTCATAGCACTGGAATTGGCACAGGACAGGAGTGAACTCTGTACATAAAAGGTAGGTGACACCCACACAAAAGGAAGGTGATCTAGTGGGCTGAACTAGACAGCACAAACAGGTCCTGTAGCACTGTCATTCTGTGTGCAGTGATACAAAGTATAATGTTCCACATTAAACTATAAGCATAACAAGTAACCAGAGTCTGGACCTTTACCCCCAAATCCTGGTTATTCAGCTAACACTTTTCCCAAACACCCTTGGAATCAGATTTGGCACAAGGAGGGAAAAATATCTGAAACATCATTCAATATCATCCATAAAAAACCACATGGGCTATGGCTAGCCGTCTAAGGTTGTGGTTCTGTGATTTAAGCTTTGGTCTTCAAGCTATCTTGTAAATCACCAACTTGCCGAATACAGATAGCAACGCAGGACTTTCTGAGGGAGATATAGTTGATTACTGCCCTATGGATATAGACCAATTTTGCTTCCATTAAGCAAATTTCAGCATCCTGGCTGCCTACGAGTCTGCTCGTTGGATTCTCCTCTCAATGTCTTAATTCATTTGTTCATTAATGAGTGACAGAATTGTTTGTATGAGCACTACAATGTTGGAATTCTATTTAGAACATAAAATAAACAAAGGTGTGGTTAAAATAAAGGCCAGCATTATTTCAGCAAATGGTTAACCTGGCACCACTCCCATGTGTACACAAGCCTACAGGGGTAGTGGAAGAAGGCAGGGGAGGCAACAGTTAAGGGACCCGGATGTATTCTACTAAGCTCAGTTTGCAGATCTGCTATATAGGTGCCCTTCAGTTAAATATATTTTACCGTGAATAAACCTCTTACCAAATATTTTGGCGTCCTCCACACATCTCTGGGTTCGTCTCCTTATGTTTTCACAATCAGCTACAGCTCTCTGGTATCTCAGCTGAACACCAAAAGCAAAATTAAAAAGATAAGAAAGCAGATGCTTAACACCAGGGAAGAATGTCTTTCTTTTTTCTTAATTCTCACCCTTGTGACAGGACTGAGGATACAGCTCAGTGGTAGGGCATTTGCCCAGCATACATGGGACCCTGGGTTCAATCTCTAGTACTGCTAAAACAAACTAGGAGTTACAAAAAAAAGATTAAAAAAAAAAAACCCAAAATGTTGGGCGTGGTGGCATGTGCCTTTAATCCCAGCACTCTGGAGGCAGATGCCAGCAGATCTCTGTGAGTTCAAGGCCAGCCTGGTTTATGAGGCAGCTGGGGCTACAGGGAGACCCTGTCTCAAAAAGACCACCACCATCAACAAACAAACAAACACACACCAAAATACCAAAATAACTTAGACTGGCCGCTCCAGATCTCCAAAGCAGTAATCTACTTCCTTTTCAGTAGCTTAGATAAGTAGTCATTTAGTCTGCTAGTTTGAATACAATAGTTTTCAAATTCATTATTTGGAGGAAAAGCTTTCTGTTTCACATTCAGCCAACACTGTCAACCTTTAACTTTCTTTCACTGGCTTGAACTCTAGTTTTAAAAGTATACCATCTATTTGAAGGCAGCTATTTCAACTTGTTTCTCTTCTCTTTCATTCCTGTAGTTCTTGATTTCTTTAACTGCTCTCACAAGACATGCTTTTCAGCACCTAGGTTTTGCTTTGCTTTGTAATTAATCCTGGCTTATTTCTCCCTCTCTCTTCACAAAAGTGTCTGTCAATCAGGACTGCGTCTAGTAGGGCAGATGTTGTCTGAGAGCAGAATACAAAGATCTTACACATTCTCTATCCTCCAGGCACTTGATCACCTTTAAATTACCAAAATATCAGATATCTAAATGCTGTGCTGCGAGAGGAAACTGTAAAGAAGTATCCTTAGTGAATGGCATTAAAAAAAAAAAAGAAACCCTGCAGATTTTGGGGGAATGGGCAGATAGCTGGCTGCTTTTACAGAGGACCTGGGTTCAATTCCTAGCATGGTGGGTAACACTTCATAACTCCAGTTCCAAGGGATCTGACATGCTCTTCTGGCCTCTGTAGGCACTGCACTTACATACACGCAGGCAAAACACTGGCACACATAAAATAAAGAAATGCTCGCTATTGTGGTGCACACCTTTAACCCCAGCACTGGGGTGGCAGAAGTAGGTAGATCTGTGAGACTGAGGAGACTCTGTTTCAAAAGAACCAAAACAACTCCCTCCCACCATGCCAAAAACCCAAACCTATTTTTTCCCCTAATAAGCACTAGCAAGAGCAGTGGAGGAGAAAGGTATAAACAACCAAGTAGAGGCAAGTTCATTTAAAAAAAAAAAAAGATGACACAAAGTATATAAAGAACAAATAATATAAAATCTACTCACTGTTAAATCCTGGACCTCCTTTTCCAGTTTAACAGCTTTTAGCCTTAATGCTCGTTCAGCAAGAGAGGGCCCCAGGTCATCGGGAGGGTCCTCAGAGCTGCAGTCTTCACCAGCAGTTCTCTGGGTGGCAGTGCTGAATGGGTATGGCCAGCCCCTAAGAGGGTGGGTGTAGCACATAATGAAAAAATGCCATCATAAAGATAAAAATCGCAACATTTAGAACCCACAAAGCTCCCTATTACTCTTAGTAACAAAGGAACACTACAAAATTCTTACTAAGCACTAAATGTTGCTTATTTGCCTCATCTTCTCATCTTCCAACATGTGAGATACTATCTTGTTTGTGTTTTTGGTCTTTTTGAGACAGGGTCTCCCTATAGCCCCAGCTGGCCTGGAACTCACTATATAGACCAGGCTGGCCTTGAACTCACAGAGATTCACCTGCCTCTGCCTCCCAAGTGCTGGGATTAAAGGTGCGCACACACTATCTTGTTTTTTAAATCATTAAAAAAGTTTTGTGGATATATAGTTGCTATGCCATACAACTTACCATTTAAAGTGTACAATTTAAACATTTTTACTATGTCCAGAATCAGACAACCATCACAATTTCAGAACACCTTTATCACCAAAAAGAAGGGTTGTATGCACTGTTACTTAAACTCTCTGCCCCGGGCAAGCCTGACATATTTTGTCTTCTACAGATTAACCTTTTATAGATGCTTAATATAAACCATAAGAGATGGTCATTTACTAGTTTTTCACTTAGTATGTGCTAGTTACTTATTGCTAAGTAATGTCTCCTGTAGATAATCCCATATTGTTTATCCATGATGACATTTGGGTTGTTTCTGCTATTCTGCTGCAATCAATAACGCTGTAGTTAATATGAAATAAGTACTAGTATAACCTGGCTTAAGGTTTAATGACTTGCTCAAGACCACAAACTTAAGCTGGTCAAGGTGATATGTGCCTGTAGTCTGAGACAGTTGGGAGGCTGAGATGGGAGGATCTTTCTTGGATGTTCTTGTAACATAGTGAAAGGCCACATCAAACAAGCAAACATTCCCACCCCTTCAAACCACAGGGCTAGTATTTTGTTGAGTCAGGATGTTTCGTACCAGAAGCGTAGTACCAAGTCATATTCTGGTTTAATTCTTCATCTTACAGAAGGGAAAAATTAGTAAAAGGAACAGAATAAGGCTTAGAATTCAAAGATTTTTTTGACCACAAGTTGTAAGGGAAGAGAATCCAGGCTGTGAAAGAGAAATTCTGAGTTGAAAGTTCAAGCACATATAAAACCAAGTCAATGAAACACTCTTTCAGCCTCCAGACTAAACAGGTCACCATAACAGACCTTTGTTTTGGTCAATTAGTTTTTGCTCAACTAGTTACATAATCTAGAATTCTGTACAGCTACACCAACAGGATATGAATCCCTTAACTAACAAAGTGCTTGAAGTTGTCTTTCCAGAAGTGCTTCAGAATCCATTCAATAGTCTAAAACTGGCTTTTCAAGAATGGACATTCCCAACCTGCCTGCCTACTCAATGACATTTCAACATCACAAGCTCAAAATCCTAAGCACAAAACCTAACTGCTCCCTGAAAAGAAACATGTAACCTGTGAAAAGGCAGGTGACATCTGGCACCACAAAAGAGCCCTAGACCTTCTTCATTATCACTATCTAATTGATAAGCTGCTTCTTTCCCTCCCTATAAATTCTCCTATCAACTGACTGGGGAGAGAGAGTTGAACTTTCTGCTCCTGACCCCCTACCAGTTGACCTGGCAACAACCAGCCCCTCATGGTACTGGCTTCTAGGGGCACAGGGAAGCGAATGCTTGCTTGGTATCACTAAAATACTTGACATTTAGTTCAGTTTACATAGAAAGAAATTTAGACTCGGGTTTAGTTTATAGCAGATCTTGGACTAGAGCTGTTCTGACCTCTAGTTTTAATGGAAGTTCCCAGTACCCCTCCAAGATCCTGATAATTTGATTTCAACTGAAATTACGGGGTAAATCAATCTGTGGGTACAGGAACTCTTTAAAAAATTATTTATAGCCGGGTGTGGTAGCGCATGTCATTTAATCCCAGCACTTAGCAGGCAGATCTCTGAGTTGGAGGTCAACCTGATCTACATAGTAAGTTCCAAGCCAGCTGGGGCAACAGGGAGATCCTGTCTCAAAAAAGGCCGGCTTGGTGGTGCATGCCTTTAATCCCAGCACTTGGGAGGCAGTGGCAGGCAGATCTCTGTGAGTTCGAAGCCAGCCTGGTCTACATAGCCAGTTCCAGGCCAGCTGGGGCTACAGGTAGACCCTGTCTCAAAAAACCGAAAGCAAACAAACACCCCCCACCCCAAATATTTATATACAAACAGCATATATTTGGACAAAGGTTGCTAGGTGACAGACATCTAAATCAAGGCTTAAGGGAGGGGGTTAGGAAAGATAAGGGAAGAGCATAATAGACTTAGACAACAGAACTTTTATCTTCTAGACTTTCAGGCAGGTCCTGAATTTTATTATGATCTGATATTCAATAATACAAAGTTCCAAATATTTGGCTGAGAAAATAATGGCTATCAAAGACAGATTTCGGGCAAATTACACACGGTGAAATACCTTCTTTTTCCTAGAAAACCACAGTGATCCAACTGAAAGCTGGTCAAAATATTCTCAGGGCCAGTCTGAAGAGAAATGATCAGGGCTCAGATTATGGGAAAAAAAAATGTGGCTGATTCTAATTCTTACTTCTTTATGATAAACTGCCAAAGTTTCAAAACAAAACCACTCATGCCTCAAGCATTAAATTCAACTCCTCAGTTCCACGATAGGGCAGGGTGTTAGGTCAGGTGCATTAAGACAAAAAAAAAGGTGACAAATAGTTATGCAAATGTCCTGGATTTCCCCGTAGCTAATTTACAATTCAGAGTTCTCTTACCTCATAGACGGCCTTTTTATTCTTTCCCAAGAATATGCCCTGAGAATAATTAAGTGTTCTCTAATAAGAACACCTGTTCTAGAACCCCGACTAGTTTCTATACAAGGTAATTTCCGGAATATTTACGTTTGGAAGTTAGCACACTTTTCTAAACTCCAGTTTCCTCAAGTATTAAACATATAGTAAAAAACAAACAAAAAAATACCCCGTAGTTGTGCAGTCTGCTGAAAGCTATAGAGGGGCAACTGGAATTCACAAAATTCCTTAGACTGACGGATGCAAGGGCCATTTGGAGAAAGCAGGTCCATTGCCTTCCTTTTACAGACAGGTAAACAGATGTCCTGGAAAAGGGGGCGAGACTGACCTACGCCCACATGCAATCTGTTAAGAACCCAACATATCCTGGGCCGCCACAAGCGAACAGGGGCGGGGAGAGCGCTCCATCTTCCAATTCCATCTGCTCGTCCCAGCTCCCAGGACGGACGTCGGAACTACTCACCTTCCCTGACTTGGAGAAGTGAGCCCATGGGCCTGTTTCTCCCTCCATAACGACCGGGCCGTGCACGCCGGGTCCTCGCGCCTGCGCAGAGCTGGTCCTCGCCCTCCCGCCCTACCACCCTCAAGCTGTCCCCGCGCTCCTCTGCCGTAGCCTGCCGGCCTCGCCGCCCTCCTTACCTGCTCTCTGACGCGGCCCGTGAGGTCAGGAGGCGCTGCAGCCGCCGGGCCGCCACCAGCGACCGCGCGGCCATGTTCCTAAGCCGAGACCGACACAGCGCACGCGCATTTGGGCCAAGTGGAGCGCAGCGCGCTCTGAAACACCACGCCTCTCAGCTTGCCTCGGAGGTTGCCTCACGGGACTTCCGGGCAGCAGCGTTGCACTTCCGGTGTCCTGTGCGCCAGCGCTGCTTTTCCAGACCGAAGAGCACTTTTCCGGCTCCCGGTGGGTTTCAGTAGTACGGTGGATACTTGGTCCCCGTGAATCCAGAGGTAGGCGGTTCGGGGTGAGCACAGCGTGTCCTCGTGCCGATCACGTGAAGTTATAGGCGATGAACAAGCAAATGAAAATATCACCAGTGCTTACACGAGAGTAATGCACTGTGAAAGACTGGTATCCTGGGCCTGAGAGGCGGCTCAGCGGGTGAAAGCGCTTGCCAAGCCTCACAACGCTAGTGGAAGGCGAAGACTGACTCCTTCGAGTTGTCCTCTGATCGCGCGCAGGCGCACACACGTAATAAATGGAAAAAGAAAGACTAGGGTACAAATGTGGCCGAGTGAGACGCCTTCCCAACGCAAGTGAAAATTGATCTGAGAACCAAAGAACTGGTAGATGAGAAGTGATTTGGCCAGGGACAAAAAGCCTCTGCTAAGAGCTAGTGAGGAGGGGAGCCCTGGAAGCAAAGGCGTGAACTATGGGTAAGGAGGGTAGTAGTTAGACTAGCTGGAGGGGCAAGAAAAGATCACGTGAACGATTAAAAACTATTGAAGCCTGAAGGCCCCTTTCCGCATCACGCCATGATTTTTCCTTCAACACCTTTCTTTTCCGACTTTTTATTATTGAAGTGTCTTGTTTCCACTAAAATATAAACTTCAGTGTAGAGCTATTTTTTTTGTTCATTCCCAATGAACATTTCTTTAAAGTTAGGGATCAGTAACCCCCTTCCGTACACCCCCTACGAATCTGCCATCAGAATCACTGCCTGATGGGAGTGACCATTGAGACACAGGTCTTGTGACTTAGGCCTGTAATCTCATCTACTCAGAAGGCAAAGGCAGGAGGGTCACAGTTATGGGGTACACAGGCAGATTAAGTCCAGCTTGAGTAATTTAGTGAGATGTTAGCTCAAAATAAAAAAGACAGCAGGAATATAGATCAGTGGTACAGTGCTTGCCTAGCATATGAGAGGCCTTTGGTTCTAATCCTCAGAACTGAAAAAAACGTCACTGCTGTATGGAGGAAATGCAACACAAGCTGTTGGAACAGCTCAGGCAAGAGAGGAAGGAATGCTTTTCTTCTGGTTCTTGAGACAGGATCTCACTATGTAGCCCAGGCTGACCAGAAACTCTAACCTCCTGCTTCACTCTCTCCAGTGCTGTGGTTCCAGGCATGGGCAGCCTCACCTGTCTCTTAGGGTGGTTGTAGAGAAGCCTTTTGTACCTACCCTATAGCCTTGCCCAGCATCATTTGTCTTAATATTTTGTTTTGCAACTAGAGTTTGAGCTTCATGTGGTTTTGTTCACAGCTGATGTAAAAAATTAAAAAAAAATTTTTCTTGCTCATTAATGGAATGAAGTAATGAAGTTGGATGTGGACACTGTAGTTTTTTTGGTTGTTTTTTTTTTTGAGATAAGGTGTTGCCCCAGCTGGATCTAGCCCAGGCTAGCCTCAGTCTTGGAGCTGCCTCTGCCTCCCAAGTGCTGGGATTAAAAGTGTGAGCCACCATGACCCATGACTGGCTAATAATTACTTTTAATTACGTTTATGTGTGTATATGTGTGCCACAGCCCATGTGTGGAGGTCAGAGGACAAGTTGTAGGAGTCACTTCTCTCCTTCCACCATTGGGTCCTAGGGCTTGAGCCATTTCACCAGTTTAAGATGTAGATAAATGTTAGAGCTTTTGGACAGAAAGGATGTCTGGGTGTGAAGAAGATAATTAGTATTTGGTCTGGTGCACTTGAAGTTGCCAGCTTTGTTACTGAATTGACCCTGCCATAAAAATAAAAAAAAATTAAAAAAAAAAAAGTGGAATGGGGCATGCTTGTTCAACGCTCTGGATCTTTACCAAAATATGGCTTCTACCGTAGCAACTTGGGTCAGATAATTCCATTTCACTTGTTCATGAGTTCCATGAGGACAGAGCTGGTCTTTTCATCTTTCATCTTATCCAGGTCAAATGTATGAGCCAACTCCTCCTCAATATCTTATGAGAAGAACACTGCTTAGGGAAGGATCATGAACCCTGTTTATAGAGAAACTTTTGGCTCTGAGCAGTTGGTGAACCTGTGCAAAGTCCCCTAGTAAGGATGCAGTGACACAAGGATTCTAACACTCAGCAGTGTGAAGGATGGAACTTCAAGTTCCTCTCAGACCCATGGCCTCTCATTTGAGAAAACACAACCAAACAAGCTTTTTAGCAAGCAAGAACAGGAACTGGTGTCTGTTTTAGGAGATCTGCCTGCCTCTGCCTCCCAAGTGCTGGAATTAAAGGCATGCACCACGGTGTGAGGTTTGCTTTTTTTTTTATCTTTTTGAAGCAGGGTCTCCCTGTAGCCCCAGGTGTCCTGGAACACACTATGTAGACCAGGCTGGCCTTGAACTCAGAGCTCTGCCTGCCTCTGCCTCCCAAGTGCTGGGACTACAGGCATGCGCCACCACGCCCGGCTTGCTTACATTTCTTTTAGTTGGTCAACTTAGACTGAGTGTGCCTATATACATTCAATCATACATATACACACGCACACATTTTCTGAGACAGGGTCTCACTATATAGCCCTGCTGGCCTGAAACTTGCTATATAGATCACCAGGCTGACCCGTCTCTCCAGCATTGGAATTACAGGTGTGTACAATTATTCCTAGATTTCATTCATATATTAAGCGCAAGTGTACTTTGAATGGAGATACATGGATGAAACAAAGATTTGGAATTAAGAACAAATGCTCTAGGATCACACTGAACTGTAAAAAATGGGTTGTTATAGTTAGTCTCACGGAATTTCAGTGAAGAGTATAGATGTAATGCTTGGTTAGGCAGTAAGCACCAAGACTAGCTACACTTAAAATTTTGTGTGTTTGTGTGAGGGGACGTGTGTGTGTGAATGCCACAGTGTGTGTGTAGGTCAGAGGACAACTTTTAGGAGTTGGTTCTTTGCTTCCATCCTTCTGAGGACCAGGCTCGGGTTGTCAGGCTTGGCAGCAAGTGCCTTTACTTCTTGGCTCATCTCACTGCCCCGGGTTACACTACTTAAAAGACAAAAGGAAACTGCAGAACATCTTGTTCAAAAATTACAAAGGAGAAATTGATGAGAAGGCAGTAGTTTCAAAATGAGGAGTGTTGTATGGGGCCCACGTGACTCAGGCTATCAGTACCTGACATGGGGCGAGTGGTCATGTTTGTTAATGATTAATGATGAAGGGCCTTTCTTTGAGCCCACGATCTGCTGGTGGAAAAAGGCATTTAACCCTAAAATAACTGCATAAGAAAGTGACAGATACTGAAAACACAGTGGTGAATGTCACTGTATAACATACAACAGAGCAAGGCAATCCGAAGATGTGAGGTCTTTTGTCACTGAAGATGTGTAGGTGGACTTGGATGAAAATCATCCCTTTGGATTGGATGTCTTTTACTACCAAGTCATTTTGTTGTTGTTTAGTAGGAAGAACAACAGCTTTTGAGTGACAGATGTCTTACCTAGCTAATGAGATCCACTACTGACTTGAGCATTTCCTACTTGTGACAGTGCAGAAGATGCTCCCTGTGTATTATCTCACTTAACTCCCACCAGAAGTCTTTGGATGAGTACAGTTAGCTGTTTTCACAGAACTGGGGTGGGGGGCAAGTGATATTCCTGAGACTGCCCTTTGCTTAGCAGCAGAGGCAGGGATTAAACCTAGCTCTGCCTAGACCCAGGATCATAACCCTGAAGGTGCACATTCTGCCAGTGACCAGACTATTTCTCTTGCTCTGGTCTTTAGCTACTTCAGAGGATGATAAAGTTTTGGCAAGGCTGAAGTACATTAAGTGTTTGGTGGGTAGACTCTAGTATAAACTATCTACTGGGGATTCTAAAACACCCCCTCCCCTCACACCATCTACCCTCTGAGCTCTCAGAGTTGAACAGTTTGATTTTTATTGGAGAGAAATATGTTAGGGACAGACCTATAAAGTGTCTACAGTTCTGAAAAAGTAGTAATTGGCATAGAAAGGGGGTTGCCCGAGACACGAGGTCCTTGCTTTGCTCCTAAAAATATCAAGTGTTTGGAAAAGGCTTAGCACCACTGTGGCGGAAATGAGCTGGCATCCTGTTGGGTTTTCCTTAAGTCTTACTTTATAGCAGATACAGAGGCACAGGCTTGTGGGCTTCCTAGTGCAAAATGGAGACATCATCAGGCTAAAAATGTAGTTTTCCAACCATAGTCCCGGGAGCCTCAGTGTCACATAAAGTAGGTAAGGACTTGATAGACAGCAAATGACTCCACCCTCCAATGCATGCAGCATTGCGTGGACACTAGGACTCCATGCTTCTATCACTGTGAGTTTAAAATGTGCCAGCTGATCCAACTGTCTTTACCCAGTAAGTACTCAGATAATCTGATTTTAAAATGCCCAAACCTTGAAGAATCCAGCTGTACTCTGCCTAGCTCTCGAACAGATGAAGACTGCCTAAAGAATTTGCATGTTCTCAGTAGCTTTCATTCATTTTTGTGTAGGCAGGAATAGACTGACTTTTTAGTCCTGCCCAGAGGTTGTTTGTAGTGCCCAACAGGAATGCAGCTTGCATTTGTGTGATCAGGTGATTGAGTCTCTCCTTCATCATGGCACCACCAATGCTGCAACACTGCCTTCCTTGCTTTAGGGACTGGGAGTGGGATGCTGAGAAGGGATGGGATGGCTTTTTCACATGGGTCTTCATTACCTTGGGAGGGCAAGGATATGTAATAAAACCTTTACAACTGTGCACGCTTCTGTTTCCCTCCACCCCCACTTCCATTCTTTGTGACATCAGAAGGATGCCTTCCACTTCTCCCTTCTCTTCAATTCCTTCCCAGAACCCTTAAAATCACAGACAATAAAAGCTGGTCATTTGGGTGTCCCAGAGAGTGGGGGCTACTTCTGGTCTTCTTGTGTCCGTGAAAAAAGCATTTCCTCCCTAGATGGGATGGAATTCTCATCTTCTTTCTAGGTCTTCTTCATTTCCCATTCCTGAAGTACACAAAGATGAGAAAAATCAGTTGAGAGTTCTCGTGAGACTGATGGATAAAAACATTTCACTGCACTTTACATGAACATCTCTACCAGCTAGGTCAGAGCCCATGGGGTTCTGGTCTGACTTAGTCTCCCCGTGGCCCTAAGTCCCTCTCTCATCCATTCTCAATTCAGTAGTCAGGGTAGCTCTGTGTTGTGGTGATGACAGGGTCTCATTATGTAGACCAGGCTGGCCTCTGACTCATGGTGATCCTCCTGCTTCAGCTTCCCAGAAAAACCAGAACCTGCTCAAATCTGCTCAATGACTTTCCAGTATGTCAAAATTCATGGTTCTGAGCTAGGTGTGGTGGTGGTGCATGCCTTTAATCCCAGAATTTGGGAGGCAGAGGCAGGTGGATTTCTGTCTGTTGGTCTGTAGCCACTGGAGGCTCTTGCAGAGGACCCAGGTTTGACTCCCAGCACCCACATGGCAGCTAACAGCCATCCATAACTCCCGTTCCAGAGGCTCTAATGCCCTCTTCTGACTTCTGCAGGCACTGCATGATACAGTGCACCTACCTACATGCAGGCCTGTAGACTCAATCTGGCCTATGTGCTTTCATACCATTCATCAGTTAAGAATGATTTATCATATTTGTAAGAATTTGGAGCCAGGCATGGTGGCGTAAAGCCTTTAACCCCAGAACTCGGGAGGCAGAGGCAGGCAGATCTCTGTGGTATGAATTCAAGACCAGCCTGGTCTACATAGTGAGTTCCAGGCCAGATGGGCTACACAGAGGCCCTGTCTTAAAAAGAAGCCCCCCCCCCCCAAAAAAAAAGAATTTGGAACAAAACACCAGAAGAATAAAAGTATTTTATGACAAGCAAAAGTGATACAGAATTGAAGATTTCAGTATCTGTAAATACAATTACACAGCCATACTCTTTTGTGCTCACCACTGTCTATGGCGGCTTTCGGGTCACAGTGGCAGAGATAAATGGTATGAAACAGACTGTGTAGCCTGCGAAGTCTAAAATGGTCACTGCTTTGCTCACACAGGAAGTTTGCTGGCTCTGGCCTAGCTGGTTCCTTCTCAGCTCTCATCTCTTAGTGCTCACCCTCCCCTGGGCTCGCCAGGCTCTCCCTGATTTTCCAACATGCTGAGCTTCTCACTTGTCCAGGTCTTAGCACTTGTTCTTCCTGGATCTTACTTCCCACTGATAGCACATGCCTCACTCCCTCACATCCCACTCAGGTCTCTGCTCGTATGCCACCCACTGCAAGGGAATTTGCTGTCAATGGTTAAAATAATCACTCCAGTCACTTGTCACCTGTCCTCCCATAACCTTGGGAAGGTTTGTATCCCCTGCAGCTGGAGTTACAGGCAGTTGTGAACCACCTAATGCTAGGAATCAAACTCAGGTCCTCCACCTGAGTAGTAGGAGCTCTTAACCACTGATCCTCAGCATTTTTTTTTGAGGTAGGGTCTCACTATGTAGTCCAGGCTGGTCTCAAAGTCATGATCCTCCTGCCTCAGCTTCCAGGATTACAGGCCAGGGCCACCATGTCCAGTGTTGGGCATTTGTTTTTCAGTTCCATACTGTCTTATCTGTGATTCTGAAATCTAGAAATCCCTGAAACCAGAATATTTCCCAGGTGTTTTGGCACAAAGTTATTTGGTGGCAAACTTGATATGGCCTGATGTGAGGCTGTTGATGGTCTTCCCTCCATTGCATGAATATTCTTAAAACCAACCACGGAGTTTTTCTCTTTTCTGGGACTCTCTATGTAGACCAGGCTGGCTTTGAACTCAGAGATCCACCTATCTCTGTCTCCAGAGTTCTGGAATTAAAGGTGTGTGCCACTATGCCTGGCAGCCATGGAGTTTTTCAAGTTTACCTACAGTATACCAGCTGAAACTTGGAGTACTTCATAATACACAGTATATGCCTTTCTAAAGTTCAGAAAATTCTGAAACACAGCTGTCCCCAAGAACTGCATAGAAGGGATTGTAGACTAGCTTCATAGAATGAGCCCTGGGCCTAGTGTTGGAGGTTCTGGGTCTATATCTCTGCTCTGGTAACTGTACCTTGCCTAACCTTCGGCCAGTTCCATCACCCCCTGCTCTTGTCTCCTCGCCTATGAAATGGAAACTCTGCTATCATAAAACACCTCTAGGCTCAGAAACCAGGTGACTGAATTTGTTAGAACTATGTTAACAGAGTGTAAACAGGTTCCGAGTGAGCTTGGGGAGTCTGGCTTTACTGTACAGCTGCACTGGCAATTTCCTGCCTTTCGCTCTAGGTGGTTTTCTGGGTTTTAGTAAGGATTCTTATAATGGGATCCAGATCTGTGACTTGCCAGCTGGCTCCTGGTGTACCTTGGCTTTCTGTAGCACCCTTCCTTGGTTGGAGGTTACAATGGATGGGCTCCTCTTCCTCATCTCAGAAACACAGTTGACAGGGAGAGATTGCTCTGGGGCACTGTTTTGGTGTTTATTTGCAGTTTCCTGTTAATGGTCAAAAAGAAAAGTTAGATAAGTGAGGTACTGCTCTGGCTACTTGCATCCAACCTGTGATCTTTAAACTAGAAAGCACTAGGCAGATATACCAGCATTGAACAGGCTGTGCAGAAGACGCTGAGGGCATTGGGATAAAGAAAGCAACAGTTGACATTACAGAGCCCTCTCTGTGCACCAGGCAGGCATTGCATGGATTCACTTATACAGCCTCCGAGGTAGGTACTATGATTAGCCATCCCATTTTATAGATGAGAAAATGGGGAGGTCAAGTTGCTGTGTAAGGTCACATGACTAGTAAGTATGAGAGAGAGGACTGAAATCTCACAGCTCCGCTTTTTTGTAGGCAGTACTAGGGGTTGAATATAGGGTTTCGAACATGCTAGGAACACGACTTAACCTCTTAAGTACTGCACCTTATTTTCCACACTATCTTCTCTTGTTACATCTTTCAGATAATTGCTTAGTACTTTACTCAGCCCCCCTAAGTGTGACAGCTTAACAGCCAAGCCTTCAAGGCATTTAGAAGACTTCTTTTTTCTATCTCTAAGGGATCAAAGTGGAGGAAAAGCACCCTGGATCAGGAACTTGAGAGCTGCTTGAGAGGGAGTGGCTGTGATGAAGGAACCAGTTCTAGCTCCTTCCCCAGCCCTCTGGGAATCAGGCCCTTCATCTGTAAAATGAGGTTAGACATGCTCCACAGAGAGGAAGTGCTAGGTATAAGAAAGACAGCTCTGACTTTAGTCACTGGGTGTGGTCTGCCCATGTGGAGTGACCCTGAACAACAGGGATGATAACACAGGACACAGCTCATACCCATCAGACAAGTCAGCTTTGTTGTCAGAAAACAGGAAACACTTAGTACATTCCTGTTATTTCTAAGAGGCTAAACATAGTCTAACTCTTGTTTTATTTTTCTCCTGTGGGTGCTCCAACTTAAGGCCTTACATATGCCAAGCAAGTCCTTTACTACTGAGCTACACTCCTAGTCTTCAGTTCTTAATTAAAAAAAATACAAAGCACTTGGGAAGGAGGCAGACATACAGGTAAAGACACAAATGCACAGTGTGGTTCAGTCCATGATGAAGAACAGATCAGACTGTTGGTAATTTAGGGCAGTGGTTCCCGATACGGGGTGATTCTGCCCTCCCACAGATGCCTGGCAATTTCTGGAGATATTTGGTTGTCATAACTGAGAACGATTGTGGTGGGGAGGGAGTGCTGCCGCATGTGAGGGGCTTGGGAGCAGCTGCCCTGGGAGAAGGCCATGGACCTACCCTGCTCTTGTTCTTGTCACTCACAGACAGGCCCAGCGCCGGGCCACCTGCCAAGGACTGCTGCAAGCGCTCTTTCACGGCCACCAGCCTCAGCTCTAGGTCGATCCTCCGCTCCTCCTTGGCCCGGCACTGTGCTTCCAGGGCAACCACGGCTTCCTCCAGAGCCTTCAGCTTTGTGCCTGAGTCCAGAGACACTGATAAGAAAGTCTGTTGGGGCTTCAGGGCCTGTCTGTCTCTCCTGCAGCCCTGCAGTCCTGGTTAAGAGATGGACTCTGGGCTTGGCTTGGCTTCCAGCTACACTGAGAGGTGTGGTCTTTATCTGCCTAAGCCTCTTCTTGGGAACAGGACCCTGATATCCCACTGCAAAACCACTGTTCCCCTTTCATTCCCTGTAGGGGTTGGCTGATCCTATGTCTAGTTCAAGGACCTGACATATAATTTAGGCCTGGTCCACAATCACCTCTCATCTTCTGGTCACTGTGATTGGTTTAGAGTTGAGACTTGGTTCAAATGGATTGAGTACTGATGTTTTAGTGGTGGTCACTGGGAGAAGCTCTCTTTACTGGGGCAGCTAAGAGGACTGAGTGAGGGCTTGTACCTTGCAGCCACTGTATCACCACATATACCTGGTCTCTCAGTTTTCTTGTTTCATTTTCCTTCATTTCCATGCCAATGTGACTTTAGTTTTTGTTACTTATGAACTGGAGTCATAATACAGAGCTTTATAGCCTAGGGTTTCAGTCCAGGGAGGATTTTGCTGCTCATTTAGTTTAATCCAACAACTCTTCATTGGTACCTTCTTCATGCTAAGTACTGTGTTGGGTCTTAGCAGGTTTAAAAATTAGCTCCATTAAAAAAAATATTTTATTATTTTTATTTTATGTGTATGAGTGTGTTGCCTGCATGTAAGTGAGTGCGCCCGTGTTATGCAATGCCGTGGAGGTCAGAAGAGGGCGTCGGTTCCCCTGGAACTGGAGTTAAAGACGGTTAGTAGCCACCATGTGGGTGCTGGGAATTGAACCCGGGTCCTCTGCAAGAGCAGTCAGTGCTCTTAACCGCTGAGCCATCTCTCCAGCCTCCTCCATTCTTTTTTTATATGGGGGGCATTGACTGACCTACAGACTTACATATGCTAGGCAGTTGCTCTATCACAAAGCTACCCACAGTCCTGTATTTCTTTTCCTTTTCTTTTTTTTTGAGATAGGGTCTCATGTAGCTCAGGCTATCTTCAGATTTACTATGCAGCTTAGGATGACCACAGTCCTGGGATTACAGGTGTACATTGCCTCCTTGCCTCTGCCTCCTGGGATTACTGGTGTACACTGCCACATCTGGTTTATGCAATTCTGGGGTATCAAATTCAGGGCTTCGTGCATGCTAGGCAAGTACTCTACCAACTGAGCCATACCCCAGTTCAAAATGAGCTCTACTGTTTATCTTGCATTAGAAGGCTTTCTAGGAATGTTAAATTCATTCATTCATTTCTTTAGTAGTTGTTTATTGAATTCTTACTATGTACCAGGCTCTGGGATAGAGCAGTGAAGGAAGCAGGCAAATGTCCTTGCTTTTATGGAACTTATATTTGTGTGTCGCAAATATAAATAAAAATAAGTATAATAAGCAATCTACCATGTTACAAAATGATACAGAAAAAAATTGAGTATGATAGTTTCCAAATCATGATTCTGACTCTTAGAAAATTCTTATTTATTTATTGTATGGGGATCTTTCTTTCATATTTATTTATTTAATTTATTTATTTATTGTATGGGGATTAAGTCCAAGGACTTGCTCATACTAGACAAGTGCTCTACCACTGAACCATATTGCCAGTTTCACAAATTCTTTTTTTTTGTTGCTGTTTGCTTTTTGAGACAGGATTTCCCTGTAGCCATAACTGGGCTATAATTCACTATATAGAGCAGGCTGGCCTTGATCTTACAGAAATCTGCTTGCCTCTGCCTCCTGAGTGCTGGGATTAAAGGTGTGTACCAACATGTCTAGTACAACATTTTTATTTTTTAATATTTTATTTTATTATTTCTATGTTATGTGTGTATGCGTGTATTACCTGCATGTAGGTAAGTGTACCCATGTTGTGCAATGCCTGTGGAGGACAGAAGAGGCTGTTGGAGCCCCTGGAACTGGAGTTACGGATAGTTGCTAGCTACATATAGGCGCTGGGATTTGAACCTGGGCCTTCTGCAAGAACAACCAGTGTTCTTAACCGCTGAGCCATCTCTTCAGCCCCAAATTCTGTTTTTGGTCTTTTTGAGACAAGATCTTCCTGTAGCCCCAGCTGGCCTGGAACTCACTATGTAGACCAGGCTGGCCTCGAACTCACAGAGATTCGCCTGGCTCTGCCTCCCAAGTGCTGGGATTAAAGGCATGTGCCACCACGCCTGGCAAATTTTTTTTTGTCTTTTTTGAGACAAGGTCTCCCTGTAGCAGCAGCAGGCCTGGATTCAGTAATGGAGAACTCACAAGAGCTCCACCTGCGTCTGCCTCCCCAGTGATGGGATTAAAGGTGTGCGCCACCACGCTCAGCTAAAATTCTTATTTTTTAAGAAAAGGTTCTTGGGCCCAGGCAATCTCTGGATGGGCCACTAGGCTCTTGAATTTGTCTGTGCCATTTTAAGCTTAGGGAACAGTCCATAGGTTCTATGTTTCATAGGGCCATGTGCCTCGGATATATTCTATAAGGACAGGACTCTGTTCCCCAAAGTATGTGGAGAAATCCAGGCTGAAGTGTGGTGAACTCCATCTAGAGACAGAGAGAATTCAAGGAAACTCATTTGAAAACTGGGTGTGGGAGTCCAGAGCAGGCAGGGCCCACTGCGGTCTCTGGATTTCAGAAGAGGACTGTGCTGGTTAGTTTTTGTCAACTTGACACAAACTAGAGTTACCTGGGACAGAAAACCTTAGATGAAGAACTGCCTCCATCAGGCTGGCCTATGGCCATGTTCTTGAGGCATTTTCTTTTTCTTTCTTTCTTTGGTCTTTTTGAGACATGATCTTCCTGTAGCTCCAGCTGGCCTGGAACTCACTATGTAGACTAGGTTGGCCTTGAACTCACAGCGTTTAATCTTGAGTGCTGGGATTAAAGGCATGCACCAATACTCCCAGCTTGAGGCACTGATAATTGATGCAGGAAGGCCCAGGTGATGCCATCCCTGGACAGGTAGGCCTGGGCTGTACAAAGAGGTTAACTGAGCAAGCAAGAGGAAGCACATAAGTAAGCAGCATTCCTCTGTGGTCTCTGCTTCAGTTCCTGCCTCCAGGTTCCTGTCTTGGCTTCCCTCCATGATGGACTATGATGTGGAAGGTTAAGTCAAATATATCCTTTCTTCCTTAAGCTGATTTTGGTCAGCGTTTTCTCACAGCAACAGAAAGCAAACTAGAACAGAAACTGGTAACAAAAGCGGGGTATTGCTGTAATAGATGTGACCATGTTGTTCTGGGGAAGACTGTGGAAACATTTAGAACTTTGGGCTGGAGAAATCACTGAGTATTCAGAACTTAATGGGCTGTTCTGAAGGAGCTAGAAAGAAAAGAATACTGAGAGAAATTCAGATGATGGAGTCCTGGCTTGTGAAGTTTCAGAGGGAAGCAAAGACTACTGGAGTGGTTTGCATGCTATTTTGAATTTAAAAATATGTGGTTTCTGGTCAGCTGGGCTGAAGAATAAGCTGTGATTAACAAGAGATCAGCACCACTAAAGTGAAAACTTTATTTTCTTGGGACATTGATCTGGATAGTCAGGGCTGAAAAATCAGTTGTGACCAGCACTGCTGATATCTTCTAGGAAGTATTTCCTTAGCACACAGAAGCTATGGTCCAGAGGGGGCCAAGGCTGCATCTCAAGCTGGAAGCCAAACTTAGCAATTTGTAAGTCTCCCATGTGGTACTGGGTTTTGAAGGCATGAAAGGGTCATGGAGAACAGCTGAAGCTTGGCACTGGGAGAGGCCAGGAGAGGCCATTTGTGAAGGTGTAGCCTCAGTTGTAGTGGAGACCTCAGCATATTGGAGATGCTAGAACCATGGAATGATCACCAAGGTCAGGGGCAGGTATAAAGTGGAACTGGAGAAGCTGTGTGAGATGCAGATGGTAGAGCCAGAGAGGTAGAGCTGCCCAAGTCTTTTGAGCCCAGAAGATTATGAGCGTGCCCCAGATGTTAGACACTGAGTTACACTGTTCGACTCTGGTTTTGCTTAAATGTGTGTGGTTCTTCCCTGTTGAAAGAAGAAAGTATTTAACCTGTTCTCTTTTTTTTTGTTCTTTTCAAGACAGGGTCTCCTTGCAGCCCCAGCTGACCTGGAACACCAGGCTGATCTTGATCTCAGAGATCTGCCTGCCTCTGCCTCCCAAGTGCTGGGATTAAAGGCACACTACGCCTGGCTTTTAACCAGGTTTTTAAAATTTTTTATTTATTTTTTATTTTATGTGTATTGCCTACATGTGTGTTAAAAGCACCTGTGCTGTGCAGTGCCCACGGAGGTCAGAAGAGGGTGTTGGATTCCCCTGGAACTGGAATTACAGATGGTTGTTAGCCACTATGTAGGTGATAGGAATCAAACCTGCTTTGCAAGAGCAGCCAGTGCTCTTAACCACTGAGCCATCTCTCAATCCTACACCTGTTTTTTGATTTTATAGAAGCCCACAGTTAAGAGACTGGATTTTTAGGCTGAGCCTGGTGGTTCACACCTTTAATGCCAGTACCTGGGAGGCAGAAGCAGGCATATCTCTGTGAGATTGAGGCCAGCCTGGTCTACACAGCAAGTTCCAGGCCAGATGGTGCTACAGGAAGACTCTGTCTCAAAAATAAAAAAACATAGCAGGACAACACTCCCCCCTGCAAAAAAAAAAAAAAAAAAAAAAAAAAGAGACAGACTTTGGACTTTTAAAGAGAGCTTAGTTTTTTAAATTTTATTATTTTTATTTTATGTGTATGCACGTATTGCCTGCATGTAGGTTAAGTGCACCCATGTCGTGCGGTGCCTGCAGAGGACAGAAGAGGCTGTAGGATCCCCTGGAACTGGAGTTATGGACAGTTGTTAGCTGCCATGTGGGTGCTGGGATTTGAACCCGGGTCTTCTGCAAGAACACTCAGTGTTCTTATCTGCTGAGCCATCTTTCCAGCCCAGAGAGCTTGGATTTTTAAATTGGTGGAATTTTTAAAGACTGGAACTGTCAAGGCTGTACTATATTTTATATTATGATATTAACATAAGATTTGGGATAAACAAGAAAGGAAAGGTTATAGTTTAATAGTGATATATTTGTCAAGTTGGCAAGGGGTCAGTTGTGCTGGTTAGTTTTTTATCAGCTTGACACAAACTAGACACCTGGGAAGAGGGAACCTCAGTTAAGGAATTACCTCCATCGAACTGGACTATGGACATGTCTATGTCTATGTCATTTTCTTAACTGATAATTGACGTAGGAGGGCCCAGCCCACTGTGGGTGGTTCCATCCCTGCACAAGTGGGCCTGAGTTGTATAAGAGGGGTAACAGTAAGTCAGGAGGAGCAAGCAAATAAGCAGCATTGCTCCATGGCCTATGATCCAGTTCCTGCCTTGGCTTCCCTCCATGATGGACTGTGATGTGGAAGTATAAGCCAAAGAAACCCTTTCCTCCCTAAGTTGATTTGGTCAGTGTTTTATCACAGCAACAGAAAGCAAACTAGAACAAGGATCCTGGGAAATATCACTGCCTCGCATACACATACACATATACATCTTTGAATAAATGAACTCAAGCCCCAAAACAGTCTCTTACTTCCTTGATGGGAAGGCACACTTCTATTTTCTACGCTTCCAAAATCAGGTTGTCTTACTACCTCAAGTGCACACAGTATTAGTTTTCTTTTTCATCCTCTATCTGAAAGCAGTTATTAAACTGATGGCACTTTAAGTGGGATGAATGATGATAATGAGGAGAGGGGAAGGGGCCTGTGTAAGAGACCTTCCCTATTGTGCGAGGGGAGGTGCGGGCCAAGCTGCCGTTCTTAGGGCCACTGATATGAAGGTACCTGGGCTGTTCCGAATGGCTTCCTTTAGCTCCCTCTTCTCCTGTCGCAAAGCCATCAGTTCTGTCCGAATTGTTTCCTTCTCTTTCTCCAGCTTCTCTTTTTCTACCAAGTACCTCCGGGCATCCTCCTCAGCTCGGTTCTTGCCGTACTTGTATTGATTGGCACCTGTAGAGATGCAGGAAGACAGGCCTCAGTTCTGACCTCCGGTGAGGTGTTAACTTGTCTCATTTCAACTTCTCTATAAAACAGAAATACTCATATCTATTCCTTTAAGCATACTTGGTATGAATCCCCTAAGGAAATAGGGAACAACAGGGAGACACAGGAGAGCACAGGGACCAGGAGCCAGGCAGATCTGGGGTTTACATTCTTTCCCGCCTTTACTTGGCATGTGACATTGGGCAAAAGTGAATGGTGTGCTTTTTTGCTTTTCTCTTCAGCCTCAGTTTCTCTGTGTAAGTAGAGGTACTGATAACATTTACCTCGCCGGATGCAGTGAGGTTTAAATGAGATAATTAAGGAAGTCTTGATATAGTACCTGGCAAATGGTGAGTGCTTAGTAAATGTTACAAAATGACAGTAATAAGATAAAAGAAAACAAATTTTATGATGTATAACCTATTTTGCTTTTAAAAAGGTGTGCTTTGGCCAGGCATGGTGGTGCACACCTTTAATCCCAGCCCTCGGGAGGCAGAGGCAGGCGGATTTCTGTGAGTTCAAGGCCAGCCTGGTCTACATAGCAAGTTCCAGGACAGCTGGGGCTACAGGGAGACACTGTCTCAAAAAAACCAAAAAAAAAAAGTGTGCTTTGAGTCAAGACTTGGGTATCTATGAGATAAGGAGATACCTACTTACAACACAGATCCAAGATCTAGGCCCATTGTATTCCTGGGGAAGGGGCAGAAGAGAGGAAGACTCAACAGTCTACTCTAGGTCCAACATGACGGTTGACAGTAACAGGTGATTACAACAAATGTGTTGCTCATTCACTGTATGCAAGATACTACACACTAAGCCACTTCTTGGAATTCCCATTCAGTCCTTACTGTATTTTATTATTCATTGTTTTATTTTTAGCTCTATTTATTATTAGCTGTGTTTACATATTACACTATTTATTAGTTCTAAGGTTGAGGAAGCTGGGACACAGAGAGGTTAGGTCCCACCGCTAATGGCATTGGAGGCAAGGTTGAATGCATGTCTGTCTGAGTCCAGGTGATGAGGTCATGAGTACAGAACCTTCACAAGTGAGATTACTGGCCCCAGAAGAGGGCTAGAAGATGGCCACCTGTGAAGCAGACCATAGCTCCAGAGTGGAGGAACGAGGTTCTGTTCTTAAGCCATTTCGTTGATGACACTTTGTCATAGCAGACTAAGAAGACTCAGGCAGCTTTCTTTCTGTGTTCTTTATAATGTCACTGAACTATGCCATGTAGCTCTCGACTGCCCCTCCAGGAACCCTGTTACTTCAGTTCTTTACTCATGTTTATTTCAGCG